CTCCCCAAAATAGTACTTATCTTTTTGACTGTTCACAAGTATTCTTTTATTTTTGTCAAAAACCCTTCTCAATAGCCGGGAATGGTGGCACATACTTATAATCCTCACACTTGGGAGGCTGAGGCAGAGGAATTGCCCCAAGTTCAGGTGGGCTACATAGCGAGATCTGTCTCAAAAAACAAACAACAAAAAAAAAACCCTTCTCATTGAAGAAAATTATAGAATTCTTTATACTTTGTTGGGTTTTATGACTCTTGGCTTACTCATTGAAAGTAATTTCAGCAATGTTAATTGCTTAACCCTATGTTGAACAGAAATATGTCATATATTGGGTCATATTAGTGGCCTTTGCAGTCCAGTTTTGTGCCCTGACAGCTTAGCTTAGTGCTTTACCAAGGAACAGCATATTTGCTCTCTGTGATAACTTTAGAATGTAAGAAAATACTCCAGATGTTGTTAATAATTTATATCTAAGCTGGGCATGTTAGCACACACCTGTGATCCCAGTACTGTGGGAGGCTGAGGCAGGACGGTGGCAAGGTCAAGCCCACCCTGGGTAATTTAGCTGCTTAGTGAGACACTGTCTCAAAAGTTTAAAATAGTGAAGAGATGGGGATGTAGCTCAGTGAAAAGGTCATGGATCCAGTACCCAGTACCATCCTTTTTTTTTTTTTTTTTTTAAATTTTGAGACAGGATCTTGCTAAGTTACCCAGGCAGGACTCAAACTTGTGATCCTCCTGCCTCTGCCTCCCAAAGTGCTAGAATTATAGGCATGGCCACCACACTGGGCTAAACTCCCTTTTAAAACACATAAAATTAGTGATTCTGACATTGCTATGTATAGGCTGCTTGGATTACCATGATAAAATATCAGAGATCCTGTGATTTAAACAACACAAATTTATTTTTCACAGTTCTGGTGACTAAAAGTTTGAGATCAGTGTGCATGGCCAGTTTCTGATAAGGGCTTGCTTCTTGGCTTGTAGATAGCAGTCTTCTTGTTGTGTCTTCACATAACATGGGATGGGGTGGGGCCGGAGTGAGTGTGTGCGAGTGATCGAGTGTGTGTGCACCTCCGAGTGCACTCTGCTGTCTCTCCTTGTGTTGGGTCAGGGCTGCACCTGTGATCTTGTTGACCCTAACTGGATCTGTGTGATCTGAATGTTTGTGTCTGCCAGAGATTCATATGTTGAAGCCCATCCTCAACTCCAGTGACAGGAAGAGATGATGTGGTGAGGTTGAGGAGATGAGGGCTTTGGGAGGTGATTAGGTGATTCCTGAGTGGGGTCATTGCCTGTATGAAAGAGGTCTGGGAGAGTTTGTTTGCTTATTTCACCAAGTGAAGCGATAGCAAGAAATCACCATTTGTGAAGTACAGAGTAAGCTGTCATCAGACACTGAATCTGCTAGTGCCTTGATCTGAGACCCTTTAGCCAGTAAAATTGTGGACAATAAATTTCTGTTATTTGTAAATGACTCAGTCTAAGATATTTTGTGATAGCATCCTGAATAGATTAAGATATGTTCCATAAAGGGCCCATCTCCAAATATAGTCACGCTAGAATTTGGGCATATAAATTTGGGGATACATTGCATTGGTTACTTTTTTCTTTTTTTAGGTTGTTTTTTTTTTTTTTAACGTGGAAAACCTGTTAGTGCTTCTATAATACCTTTGAATTTTTGTGGGTTTTTTTCCTTTTTTTTTCTTTCTGAATTTTTGTTTTTGATATTATTCCTAGTCTGATATGTATTGTGTACTAATGTTCAGATAGACAGTAAATTCCTTTACCTAAATTCTGGTTTTTAAAATGTCATTTTTATTAAAGAAAAAGATTTCACCTTTTCTTCCATGAATGAAAAAGCAAAAAGGAGAGTGAAAAATGCACACTCTTTCATTGTTAAATTAAGAAATATTTGTAAACTTGAATCCTAGAGTATGGTAAAGGGCTACCACACTCTGAGTTTTCTGAGAAGGGAAGCCTGTAGCTAGCGTATCACAGGAAAAGAACAGGTAGAACTCAGATCTTCAGGTCAGTGGAGATGAATGTACAGGCATCTGGCAGGGCTTTTACAGGATCCAGTTTGGAACACAGGAAAGAGGAAAACAAGGCTGAAGAAAGAATTAGAGATGATATTTGAAGAGGATGCAGAAGCTTTCCTAATGGTACATTCTGATGAAACAGCATTCACCCAGAGAGAGACTAAATTCTACCTGCTATTTTAGAAATAAAACAAAACCAAAAAAAATGGCTTTAAAGGTGTTAGGGAAAGGAATACAAACCCTATCAACCCTGAGGCATGGGTGAGGGTTCACTGCAGCTTGGGGAAGAATAGAAGAAAAATAAAACTTCTGTCCCGGGGGAGGAGAGGGAACACATGCTGAAGCATTAGGAGTCCCCTGCAGTTGGGAGAGGGGTGGGATCACTGAGAAGTTCCCCTCCAAGACCCAGGGACACAGACTAAGGTTCAGCTTACAACTGAGGTTGAATCTGTTTCTCTTCAGCTGTCTCTCACCACCAGGTTAGAAAGTGTGTGGTCTGGTGTAGCAGGAAAGGCAAGCTTATAAAGAGACATTCTCTGAGGTACAGTCACAAAGAGAAGACCTAAGTCTGTGGGTGGAGCAGAGGCACTGACAAAAGGAACCCTCTGGCAAATGAACTTATGCCTAAATACTCGATGATGATGATGCTATAAGAATTGGAAGCCTGTGGGGGGGTATTGCATCACCGTAGCAACAGCAAACCCCAGACCCAGCTCCACAACTAACTAGATTAACTTAATCTTCTCCCTTGAACTAAGGGCCTAAGAAAAGAAGAAACATGCCCATTTTTAGGCATAACTATTATTTATCTAAGTATCGATTGTTTTATGATGTTTTGTTTTCAGCCAAAAATTATAGGGCACATAATGGAGCAAGAGAAAAACAACAAACCATTAAGAGACAAAGCAGTCCACAGATCAGACTCATATGGTCCAGATGTTGGAGCTATTGGACAGGAAATTTTAAGTAACTGTGATTAATATGTTAAAGGCCCCAGCACAATAGAGAATGTGAACAAACAGAAAAGGAATATTAGCAGAGATGAAAACTATTAGAATGAATGAAATGGAAATAATAGTAATGAAAAACATAATAACAGTTGATGAGTGTTTTTGTCAGGCTCATTAATAGACTTGACAACTGAGGAAAAGACCGTAAGACTTGAAGACAGATCAGTAGAAACTACCGAGATTGAAGCACAAAGAGAAAAGAGAGGGGAGAAAAAGCCAAGACAAAACAGCCAACAGCTATGGGATAATATTAAGTGGTATAATGTATTTTGTAACTGGAATCTTGGAGGTCAGACAGAGTGAAGAAGACATATTTGGAGAAGTAATGACAGTTTTTATAGAAAAGAAATAACATACCATAGATCTGAGAAGCTCAGGGAATGTCAATCAGAAAAAAATAACTAAACAGATAGAACCAATCCAGACACATACCAAACTATGAAACCAAAAAGAGAAAATCTTGAGGACCACCTAAAGAATAAGACGTACTGGAAATAGAAGAGCAAGCAATTACAACAAAATCTTTTCAAAAACTGTAACCCAGAAGATAGTAGAGTAAGATCTTCAAGATGTTGAAAGAAAGAAGAAAAGAAAAAAACCTGTCAACCCAGAATTCTACATCCAGCAAAAATTCCATTCAGAAGTGAAGGAGCAATACTTTTTTCCAGGGATACAAAAGTTAAGAGAAATTATTACCAGACCCATACTACAAAAATATTAAAGGAAATTCTTAAGACAGGAATTTTGTGTAACATAGAAACAATCTATACAAAGAGATTTAAAAAATGGTGGAAAAGGGCATACATGTAAGTTATATAAAGTTTATTTTTTCTTATATTTAGTGTCTCTAAGAGTTATCTCTGTAGCAAAAATAGTAGAAATATATCATGTATTATATAATGGATGTAACTATAATAGCACAAACAATGGAGTGAGGATTGGGGAGTATATTGTTGTTAAGATCTTTATATGATATATGAAGTGGTAAAATGATATTTGTAAGTAGACTATATAGTTAAAGAAATATTGAAAACCTTTCAGCCACTACATCAAAAATTATTTTATTATAATATACATAAAATTTACCATTTAAGTCATTTTTTAGTTCAATGGCAGTAAATACTTTCACAATGTTGTACAACTACATGCAGAAGTTTTGTAATCATCTTAAACAGAAGCTCAGGCAGAGTGTGATGGCGCACACCTGTAATTCCAGCACTCTAGAAGCTGAGGCAGAACTTCAGTGGTTCTGCCACCTGCCTTGCAAGTGCAAGGACCTGAATTTGATACCCAGTACCAAAAAATAAAATAAAAAAATAAAAAGCTGTCAAATACTACAAACATCACAAAATGGGAAAATAAGATCACAATGTTAAAAAAAAAAAAGAAGCTGAGGCAGGAGGATCGCCGCAAGTTCTAAGCTACTAAGTTCAAGGCCAGCCAGAACTACATAGTAAGACCCTGTCTCAAAAACCAAAACCAACCAAACAAACAAAAACCAGAAGCTCAGTACCATTAAACAATAACTTCCCACTCCCCGCTTTTTGTAGTCCCTGGTAACATCTATTTTATGTTCTGTGTATTTCACATAGTAGAATCATATATTTCATTTTTTTTGGTCTAATTTCACTTAGCACAGTACTCTTAGCATATCATTATACTTCTATAAAAAATTTTAGTAGTTGTTCTTGAGTTCACAATGTAAATTTAGAATTAATCTAATTTTTTGGGGTGGCTATTGGGGATAGAACTCGGGACCTTGTGCTTGCAAGGCAGGCGGCAGAACCACTGAGCTAAACCCCCGGCCCCTAAGTTTTTTTTTTTAAGTAGTACTGTTTCATAATACAGGTAATACAAATTCCTTATATCAGTGTATTCTCAGTTCCTTTCACATGTCTTTTATAACATTGTTGTCATTCATGTGCTACAATATTTATAAGCTATAATCAAAAAAATACTTTGTTGCTATTATTATTTCGAACAAACTTTAATCTTTGAGGTCAATTAAGACTACGTACAAAGGGCCGGGGATTTAGCTCAGTGGTGCCACCCACCTGCTTCACAAGTGCAAGGTCCCTGAGGAAAAATAATACATACAAAAAAAGATTTTGTTACACCTTCTTTTGCTCCTTCTCTAATGCTCTGCCTTTTTAAAGTTTAGATCTGAGTATAATTTTCATTCTTTATAAAGAATTTCTTTTAATATTTCTTGCAAGGTAGATCTACCAGTGACAAAATCCCTCAATTTTAGCTGAGCATGGTGGTACATGACTATAATCCCAGCTAACTGGGAGGCTGAGACAGGAGGATTGCAAGTTTAAGGCCAGCATGGGCAATTTAGGAAAACCCTATCTCAAAAAATAAAAAGGGTGAGGCTGTTGTTTATTCTCATGCCTTGGGTTCGATCCCCAGTATCTCCCTTTCCAAATAAAAAAAGGAATGTAAATGGCAGGGTATTGTTGTTGTTGTTGTTTTATTCTGTCCATGTGCGTGTGCATGTGCATGTGCTCTCATGTGTATGCTGGAGATTTAACCCTGGATCTTGCAGGCCTCAGCCTCCCAAGTACCTGGGATTAAAAGTGGGCACCACTGTGTCCATCCTGTGGTTGATATTAATCCAACTATATCAGTAATCACTTTGAATGTCATCTAAGTATATCAATTGAAAGAGATTGTTAGAATGGATCATCGAAAAAGTCAGAGCTACATAAAAGTAAATATGCCTTAGGCCGGGGATTTGGCTCAGTGGTTCTGGCGCCTGCCTGGCAAGTGCAAGGTCCCGAGTTCAATCCCCAGTACCAAAAAGAAAAACCAAAACCAAAAACGAAAAAATAAAGATGCTTTGCTAACACCAGTCAGAAGGAAGTGGGAGTACATGTTAATTTCAGACAGAGCAGTTGTCAGGGATAAAAAAGGTTAGGATATTACATAATGATGGGGTCAATTCTGTAAGAAGACATAACCATGTATGTATTTAACAGCAAAGATTTAAAAATCCATGAAAGTATGAGGAGAGACAGATGAATCTGATATTGTGGTTGGAAGATTCAGCACCCTTCTATCAGAAATGGACAGATTCTCAGGCAGAAAACTAGTAAGGACACAGGTGAGCTCAGCAACACTATCAATCAACTGGATATAATGAACATCTATAGAATACCTCATCCAGTCACCTCAAACTCACATGAAACATTCACAGAGACCCCATTCTGGGCCATAAAACACACTATAGCAAATTTACAAGAATAGAAATCATACAGTATCTGCTCTCGGACCATGGTGGAATTAAACTAGAAATCAGTAACAAAAAGATAGGTTAAAAATCTCCATATACATGGAGGTTAAACAGCAAAATTCTAAATAACACACAGGTCATGGAAGAAAACTCAAAAGAAATTTAGAATTATGTTGAACTAAATGAAAACCCAAAACATCAAATGTCTAAGAATAAATGCCACAAAAATTTGTAAGGAATCTCCAAACCATTATCAATTCTCAGTTAAAGACCTGCATAAGCGAAGGGGGAATATACTTTGTTCATGTAATGAGTCATTCCTGTAAATATGTCAGTTCTCCACAAATAAGTCTGTAGATTTACTGCAGACCAAGTCACACTGCCACCCCTCCATTTTAGGTAGTAATAGACAAGCTGATCCTGAAGTTCATTTGGATAAAGGTCCACAAATAACTAAACACACTTAAAGAATAAACAAAACATAAAGACTGGCTGTAGTCGGATATCAACCTTAAGACAGAGGAGTTCTGCTCTAAGAAAAGACAAATCAGAAACAGAAACATTTGATTTATATTAAAAGTGGTGATTTTTAGTGATTGGGAAAGGTACTGATTTTATTGTGTGTGCATATTGAAACAAAACACAGCCCCACTTAACTCCATGTACGGATTAATTCCAGGTAGATATCAGTTCTAAATACCAAAAGCTCCTAGGAAATAATATAGTATATCATTGTTATGGCTTTTAGGGGTAGGGAAAGATTTGTTAAAAAATACAGAAAAGGGAGTGACTTATTAAAGGAAAAATATTGATTTTAGACTACATTAAATTAAAAACTTCTGTTCATCAAAAGGCATCATCATGAAAATCAGAAGATACAACACAAATAACCTTCATAGAACTGGTTTCCAAAATATAAACTGAATGAAAAAAGATTGGCCAAGTAATTTAGGCATTTCCCAAAAGATAAAATCGAAGTGGCTTACACATACAAGAGATAATTCCAGAATTGCTGTCTCATATCTTTGTCACCATATAATATTTTATCTGAGCTAGAACAATTTTGAAATAGAAAAGAGGAACATTGCTTTTCAAGAATAACTGGTTGAAACATAGACCATTTGGGGGACATGTGAAGTACAGCTTCCCACATATAGGAGATACTATACTAGTTTATTGTCATTATGAGTTATATTTGACCTTTCCCTATTCTAGTTTCATAAATTTTCTGATGAGTGATCTAGAAATCACTCTTAAACACAATGTTGAAGGCTGTTAAAATAGGGAATATTTAGCAAGGTATATACTTAATAGAAAGCATTTCCTGTAATCAGACTGCTTTGGTGAAAATATGGACTTCCTTCATTTGTGAGATGAAGGATCATTGTTATTTCTGTGGTTTGTTTGGATCAATCCTATGAGTTAGAATTGGAATTTCTCAGGTTTTAAAGAAGGTTTTATTGGATTTATTGCTTCAGAATTTTAAGTCTTAAAAGAGTATCGAGCCAGGCATGTCAGCACATGCCTATAATCTCAGGTACTTGGGAGGCAGAGGCAGAAGGATTGCAAGTTCAAGGCCAGCCTGGGTAACTTGGTGAGACCTTGTCTCAAAATAAAATAGGCTGGGCATGTGTCTAGTGGTAGAGTGCTTGTATAGTGTGGCAAGGCCCTAGATTCGATGTGGTCTCTCTCCTTCTCTCCCTCTCTCTCAATGCTAGGCAGAGAAATACCTATGATACTTCTCTGGTGCCTAATGACACTTTCCCTGTTTAGGTGGACACACGTTTGCAAAATGGATTTGCTCCTGGTATGAAACTGGAGGTGGCTGTGAGAACAAATCCTGAAACCTACTGGGTTGCCACCATTATTACTACCTGTGAGCAGTTGCTCCTCCTCCGCTATGATGGCTATGGGGAGGATCGGAGAGCAGACTTCTGGTGTGACATTCGAAAGGCTGATCTCTACCCCATTGGATGGTGTGAGCAGAATAAGAAGACTCTTGAAGCCCCAGAAGGTAATAAAATACTTCTATTGAGACATGATATATTACTGTAAGTATGAATTACTCAGCCTTGAAGTTTTCAGTCTCCAGTCATATAGGTTTACTTCATGTAGGTTTACTTAATGTTTTTAGATTTTTATTTTTAATGAAAATATTTATAAGAAGTAATGCACATTTTCCTATCTTTTAAAAATTATTTTCTCTGTAAAGTCTCATGTTTTTATGATGCTCACTCATAGAGAACATCAGTGCTTCTGATCCTTTTAAGTCTGTGAGGTGCTCTGAATTTAGGATAGGTAAGTCTGATTGTTTTCCAGAACATGGAGCTGAATAGAGTGCCGCTGGTTCTCTTTATTTTTATTGGCCTCTGTCTTACTGCTAAGCAGTCTGGGAACTATGAAGTCTTAAAATGAACCAACTAAAGCTCCATTCCAGTAAGGGACAGTAGAATCCAAATTAAGCAGGAGAAAGACAATAAAGACAAAAGAAAGAAAATGATGAGAAAAAGTTGGAAGAAAGAAAGAGAGAAGCAGATTTAAGAAAACACCAGACTTTTTATATTTTTCATTAAGTTCTTCACTTGATCTTAACCAAAAGGCCAAGAAGCGATTTTCATTAACTTCTTATTTTGAAATAATTTCAGGTTTACAAGAAAGTTGTAAGAACAGTATAGAAAATTCTGGGAGTCTTTTTGCCAAGTTTCCCCAAATGTTGACATTTTACCACATTTGCTTTATCCTTTCTCCCCTGCCCACGCATGCTTTTTTAGCGAACTGTTTGAGAGTCACTTTTAGACATGATGCCCTTTTACTCATAAATCCTTTAATGTATCTCTAAACACATGGCATTCATGAATACCATAAAAATATCAAAAACAGGAGGTTACTGATGCAATTCCATTTAATCTATAGATAATTTTTACCAACTGTTCCAATAACATTTTTATAGAAAATCCTGGATTATGTGTTGCATTCAGTTGTCATGTCTCACAAATAAGTTTCCTCATTAATCTGAAATACTTCCTTGGGCTTTCCTTGTCTTTCATGGCTCCCTCCTCCATACCAGGCCTCGAACTCCGGACCTTGCGTTTGCAAAGCAGGCAGCGGAACCACTGAGCTAAACCCCCGGCCCTTCATGGCTTTGATACTTTGAAATGTATAGGCCAGTTTCTCAATAATGCTCATTATGTCTTTGTCCCAGGAATGTTCTTTATGTCCTATTTCTGTTCCTGATTCAGGATTCAGTCTAGGATCACATAGCATTTAGTTGTCATCTCTCCTTAGTTTTCTTTTCTTTTTTAAAAACTTTATTTATTTTATTTTATTTTTTGGTACTGGGAATTGAACTCAGGGCCTAATGCTTGCCAGGCAGGTGCTGTGCCAGTGAGCTACGTCTCCAGCTCCTTAGTTTTCTTAATCTTTCTTTATCTTGACATTTTTTAAGAGTACAGGCAAGTTATTCTGTAGAATCACCTCCAATTTGTATTTGTCTTATGTTTCCTTAGATTTAGATTATTTACTTTTCATAGAAAAAAATAGAGAAATTGTGTCCTTTCATTGTATCCTGTTGGGAGATGCATATGGTTGATTTGTCATATTACTGATAATAACTTTCATCACTTGATTAAGTTGCTATATGTCAGGTTGTTCCACTGTGAAATTATTCTTTTACCCTTTTAAATTAATGAGTATCTTATAGGAAGATTCTTTGAGATTATGAATATATCCTATTACTTTTCAAACTTTCATCCACTATTTTTAGCATCAATTTATAAATTTTTTATGAGACAGTATTGCTCTACTAGTTAACAAATACTGTTTTTCTAATTTTTACATTTCTTAATTGGACATGTATAGAACTTGTATGAATATTTTAATACTAAATTTATGGAGACATCTGAGATAAATGTGTTACTTTTGGCCTCTACAATTATCAGAGATACTCAAAGTGGTGGCCGTTAGCTTCCAGACATTTATTAGTATGGCAAACTGGTGCTTGGGTAATGTTGGTCATTGAGATTGCTGGGCATGCATTTTCAGTTTCTTCTGTAAGGGCCAGCAGTATAGTGGGTTTTCTGCAATATACCACATCCTCTAAGGTGCCCTATATGAGGGTAATGCCATCTGTTGAAAAAATATCATGCTATTTTTCCTTTTCCTGAAGTGTGTACATACATACCAAAAATACGTATTTTTGGTAGACTTGTGTGTGTGTGTGTGTGTTTGTATCAGTGTAGACTAATGATTCTTTTTTATTCAGTGGGTTGTAATCTTTTCCTTTCATTTATTTTGATGTGAAACTGTCCTAGATTCAGTGAGTAGAAACTTCTTACAAATTGGCTGATGTCTTTTTGATGTGTCACTTTTATTCTCTGAGCAGTATCTTACTTTTTGGCTCTAGAAACTTTTCAGTCTCAGCTCTGAAATCAGCCATTTCCCCAAGAAGTTGTGGTTTCTTGCAGTGAAGAATGGTATTTAGAGATGAAGATCTGGTGTTACGGTCCTGAGGTGGTATGGGTTTTTAGCAAGCTCGAGAGGAAACCCTAGAAACCCAAAGCCACCTGGCCCACCATCTCATCCTAAGAGTGTAAGAAAATGCATCTCATTTCATCAGCAGTGGGAAAGGATTTCAGTTGAATCTCATAAAAACAATTATAACCAAAAAAAGAAAGAATTGGGCCGGGGATTTAGCACAGTGGTTCCACTGCGTGCCCTGCAACCGTAAGGACCCAAGTTCGATATCTGGTACAAAAAAATAAACTCCACAAAAAAAGAAAGAATAAAATCCTTCCGGTGATGCATAACCACAAAAGGGATGAACACTGTGTCAGATACAAATATTTCAAAATAAGCTAAAAGAGCAGTAATGATAAAACCTTAAGTAAAATTTAAAAAAATTCAAATATGAGGTGATTGAAGAAAAGGAAGATTTGAAGAGAAAAAGTAGAATTTAGAATGGAAATAAAATATTAGATATAAAAATAGTTTAAATGAACACAGGAGTAAATCATCACAGGTAATATCTGAAAAGAAATAGAAAATGAAGGAAGGGCAAACATTTTGAAATAAAAAAATAAATGAGGAAAGAAAAAGGACTTGGGGAAAATTATATAGACATTTACAGTGATTTATGATGCATAAAATAGAAGTCCCTGAAGAATAAAACCAAAGCAATGAAACAATAAAATAATGTAACTGTAACTTAAACTACTGAAATAAAAGACAATTTGAATTATGTACTAAAAAAGCTTGTCATGTATGGGAAAAATCAAATGAGCATAAAAATTGCTAGAGAAATATTTACATGTGTAACATTAGAGTTTAGACTAAATGATGACTAAGACACTACAGTGTATAAAGGTGCTCTGGCAATTAGATATAGTATCATAAAAAATAAGGGGCACATCAGGAGAGGAACATGAATAAATACATGTGAATAAACATAAGCTTACCCATTCCCTTTTGTAAAAAAATCTTTATTGCTGTGTAATTTAATTCCTTTTTTAGAATTAACTGGGAGTAAAATGATACTGCCTGAAATGAGGTGCTGAAGGAGAGAATAAAAAGAGGTTACCTAAGTTCAATACTGTTTACAGAAAAAAAGAAAATAGCCCCAAAATACAGAGGACTAAAAGTATTATGTAAAGGTGTCAGTGTAAAGGTAAGGAGTAGAAAATGTAAACCTCTCTAAATACTGAAAGATTCAAAAAGTGAAATTATATATATAAGTAGAATAGATCACATAGTGAAACACTGCACATACAATTTTAACAGTTAACAAAATGACAGATTGGAGGCCATTCATATTGATAATATCAGTAAATGTTAATGAGTTTACTCCTCTGTTAAAAGTAAAAAAAAATTCAGATTGGCTGCAGTGACTTCAAATATATGTGTTTTAACTTAGGATTTCACAGTGAAATCATTGATGACCTTTGGAAGATGCCAAGGAACCAACTAATTGTTTTAAAGGCTGGTAAATATGGGGAAAGAATGAAGAGAATCAAGCATATATTCTGCTTTCTTTTTGTGAGCTCTTCTTCAGGGCAGTCAAATAGTTGAGGAAGAGAAGTTTTTAGAAGTATTTTGGTTAGTAAATGAGGTAATAGAATATCTCCATTTTGGGCCCCCATTAAATCTAATAAAGAATAGACAGCCAGACCTTATGCACCTGCTGATGGGAGGATATAATTCCTTCTTTCCAAACAATATATAATCCAAGTTAGATTAAGCTTCTGGCTCTACAGACCAATTTATAGAAAGTATAGGTGACAGTGGAACTACTGGTTGCTACTGGGAGGCAGCCTATGATGACAGACTTTGAAAAACTATATAGGACAAAGGCTGAATCTCAACAACATGCTGCAAGAAAGGGGTGCCGGGGGAGAAGGAGAAGGAACCTACAAATTACAAGTGATTTAGATGAACAACCATTTGCAATGTATAGATCTTACTTTGGATCCTGATTTGATCAAACACATTGAAAAATATTTATAAGAATTGAAAAAATTTTGAAGTGGACTAGACATTTGGCATTAAGGAATTATTAACATTTTAAAGGTATGATATTGTTCTGGTTACATAAAAAGTTATTTACTTTCAGAAATATGTACTGGACTATACACTATATGATATTTAGAATTGTTTTCTAGGTAATTCTTGATTGAGTGGGAATAATGTGTATGAGGTTATAGGCCAGGGTTTGAAGATTATCTATAAAGGGCCAGATAATAAATGTTTTAGACTTTATGAGTCGTATGGTCCCTATTACAGCTGCCCACTTCAACCTTTGTGGTGTGAAGGCCGCACAGAAAATACATAAACTAGTTGGCATGGCTATGTTTCAATTAAGTTTTATTTACAAAAGTAGATAAAGGCAAAATTAGCCCACAGGTGGTAGTTTACTAATTATCGGTGTAGATGAGACAAACTGGCTATGAGATGACATTTGCTGAAACATGAAGGTGCATGAGTATTCATTATACCTTTTTCTGTACTTTTTCTGTATGTTTGAAATTTTCCTATAAAAAATAAAGCAGATGCCTTTTGGCTAAAATTGCAGTAACAGGGAGTTCTTTTGTATACAACTGTTACTAATCAAAAGTCCAAAGAATTGTTTTATTTTTTTAAGCTCCCAAAGAAGTGATACTTGAACTTTTAGATTTGAAAATGGCAAACATACCTCTGAGCCATTTCCATGTGTCAGGTTTCTTTGTGTTCTGTGGCTGTCACTATGAATAATAGTCATTTCTTCTCTCATCTAGGCATCAGAAATAAAGTGTCTGATTGGGATGCCTTTCTGCGGCAGGCCCTGACTGGTGCATGTAGTCCTCCTGTTCCACTGCTAGAGGGCGTGAGTATTACTGTATGCCAAAATCAGTGTGGAAAACTCTTGCCAAGGAATTAAAATTGGTTTCCAGGACAGGGATTTAGTCGGTGGCATTGCCGCCTGCCTTGCAAGCACAAGGTCCTGAGTTCGATCCCTGTACCCCCTCCCCCAAATGGTTACTAATTTACTCTGAAGCAAATAAACATTACTAAAGACATAGGAGTAAGTATTGTGAAGTTTAAATTTAGCCTTAGAGATTGCAAACTGGTGGCTTGCTAGGTGCCTAAAAATCTGAATTTATTCAAATCTGATTTTCCAGATTCTTTTACACAGTTGAAAAATGGGGCCTTTGAGAGCTCTCATTCCAGAATTGAGCAGGGGTTGATTCTGCTTCAGGGTGGCCATTTGTAATTCACAGTAGATGACTTGAGGCCCCCTTTTCTTTGCTCAGAAGACACTGGAGCTATCTTACTCCTATGTACTTTCAGCAGTCCTTTCAAATTAGTGTAGCTTTTGAATTTGTTGGTGGGTATGGATACCTTGATTATGTGAAAAATGTATTGGCTATGGGCTTTCTAAATGATATCTTACCACTTTCTATCATACCAGTAACATTCTTTGTGGCATATGTATGTGAAATGCGATGTTTTAAGGTTTCAGCTTCTTTACATCCTTGCTACTACTTGTTATCTTTTTGATTATAGCTATCCTAGTAATGTCTCATTTTGATCTGCATTTCCCTAAGTGTTATTGAGGTTCCACAACATTTTAGGTGCCATTCATGCATCTCTTTCGGAGCAGTGTTTTTCCCCATGGTTGTCTTTTTATTACTGAATTGAAGAATTCCTTATACATGCTAGATACAAGTGCTGATAGAATATTTGATTTTCAAACATTTTCTTCCATACTGAAGGTTGTCTTTTTTTATCATTTGAAAGGGTTTTGTTATGTAGTCTAATTTACCATATCTGTTTCTTTTGTTTCTTGTGCTTTTGGTGCTATATCTAAGTAGGCTTTGCTTAACCCAAGGTTAAAAAAAGTTATTCCAACAACACTGACTTTGTATAGATCTTATGGTGTTGAAATATAACATATCCTCTCACGTGAAAAATAAAATAAAATTTGCAAGAAAAAATTATTCCTATACATCTAAAAATTTTATAATTTTAGCTTTTACATCTAATTCTATGATCTATTCACATCCTCTTTTAAATCTTGATTGTTGAGTAGTATCCCTCAAGCTGTTCTTTATATTTCATAGCCTGGCTCATTTTTTTATGTTTAGTCAGACAGAGCCTGGCATATATAAAACACTCAGTAAAATTTGAATGAATGAGTGAAGTCATGAATAAATGCACTGATAAAATACTCTGTTCTGCATTGACCATGATTCTGCTATCTTGAAATTTTTATCTGTGAATGTGTTCTTCCATTTGCTTATATGTTCTTTTGCATACTTGGATATGGAAGTTTTACAGAGCAGTTTTTACTCAGAAAGAAATGTGAGATTGAATATTAAGAAATGATTAAATGATGACTTTGGAATGAAAGTCATGTGTCTTTTATTTTTGGTACCGGAGATGGAACTCAGGACCTTGCGCTCATGAGGCAGGCATGGTGCCACTGAGCTAAATCCCTGGTCCCTGTGTCTGTTTTTTATTGTAGTTTTAAATATATATCTAGATAGAGGTGAATTTTCCCTTTCCTTCAGTGTAATAAAAAATTCTTACTGAATTCATTAGAACTTTGTAAAATGAGTAAAAATCAGAAATAAGTAAAATATCAGAAAGTGAATAGATCGTTGCCCATTTACAATACAGAACATCATAAAAGAGTTTAAAAAGTGAGATTTACATGCTGTACTAGAAAGACACCTGTAATGTTTTTGTTTTTTTGTTTTTGGGGGGGTTTTTTTGGTACCGGGGATCAAACTCGGGTCATTGTGCTTGCAAGGCAGGCAGCGGAGCCACTGAGCTAAATCCCCAGCCCAAGACACCTATAATGTAATAAGTGAAGAACAAATTGAAAAAAGTGTATACTAGTCCCATTTTGAAAAAACAGAGGCGGCGGTGGATATTGTGTGTAGAAAAGTGTATGCCAAAGCATTTTCTGTAGTTCTTTCTTAGAGGTGAGATTATAGGAGACTTTCACATGTTTTTTTCTTTAATGATGATTATATTTACTTTTGTAATCAGAGACAAAGTGGTAATGATATTCTAAAAATTCTTACTAAATGAAACAAGCCTCAAGATAGAGATTTTTAGAATAGTTTTATTGTATTATGAGTAGATTTTCTTTTAAGATAAGCATTTTCATATCATCTAGAAGTAATAATGTAAGAGGTTTGTATGATAATTGACAATTTAATGTCACCAGGTTTTGATAGGTAAGAGAATATGAAAGTTGGCTTGAAATCGTTTAGAACTTGACTTTTAAAAATATGTTAACTTCTCTTATGTAATCATTTAACTTTTTTAACCTACAGCTCCGCCATGGAAGGAATCCTTTAGATCTCATTGCTCCAGGCTCCAGGCTAGAATGCCAAGCTTTTCGGGAGTCTCTAAGTACTTGGATTGTTACTGTAGTAGAAAACATTGGGGGACGGCTGAAGCTGCATTATGAAGGACTTGAAAGTCCTGACAATTTCGAACATTGGTTGTATTACTTGGATCCATTTCTTCATCATGTTGGTTGGGCCGCTCAACAGGGATATGAACTTCACCCTCCATTAGGTAAACAATAATATACATTTTTTAAACACATTATTGTTGTTACTAATGTCCATGAAACTGAAAAACATTATTCTTATTGAAGCCTTTGTTAGTAGAGATACTGCAACAAATTTGTATGGAGATGTTAGATTAAATGCCTATTTTTCTTTCTGTTTTCTTGCATTTATAATTTGCCACACATATTGATAAAACTCATAGACTTCTGCCCAAACTCATACTGACCCCTTTTCAAAACAAAGAAAAATATTCTCTAGGTAGCATTCCGATAGGTATATATAGCAAATTGGGTTCACAGCAGATTGTGTTAAACTCTAGTTTATGGACTAGAGGAATCCTTATGATCTTACTGCAGGCATTTTCACAGAGCTTAGCTGTGTGGGTTCTGAACAGAGCAGTGTACTGAGGTTAAGATGCAAGTTCTTCTGAGTGAAGATGAGTATAAAGGACTTGAACTCTGTCCTGTTCCCAGTGGAAAGTACTTCTTTTGTTTATATGAATGCTTTCAGAATAGTTGAAAAAAGTATATAGGCTTTCTCATCTAAAGCATTTTGTCCTGTCTTACTGAAGCCATCAGACATTTGAAAAATGAAGCTGAGTGGCAGGAGATTTTGGCCAAAGTCAAAGAGGAGGAAGAAGAGCCATTACCATCTTATTTATTTAAGGTAAAACCAAAAACACTTGATAGATAGTATTTCTCTTCTCACAACAGAGTAAAGCAATTTGGAAAGAGGAAAAGTGCAAAATAACCCCTGGAAGCAGGAGAGTGCCCTAGCCTGTACAGGAGAGGAGAGAGGTTAAGTGGAGTGATGATCACCCTGGTTTTCTTGCAGTGCTTGTCTGGATTTTCTCTCCAGGTCCTCTTAAGACACTTTGAATATTTTTCTCTTCTACTCTTTTTTTTTTTTTTTTTTTTTTTTTGCAGTACTGGGGACCAAACTCAGGACCTCACACTTGGCAGGCAGGCAAGATGCCACTGGGCTACATCCCCGGCTCTTAAATACATCCTCCACTCTTAAATGCATCCTGTACTCTTAAATACATCCTCTACTCTTAAATACATAGCCCTAACTTGTTATAAAATAAATTTGGTTTTTCCTTTAGATGTCCCTTGTGTCCTAAATGTAGAGAGAAAATATACTTTCTGTGTTGTTTTTTGTCCTGAATAGTTTTTTCCAGAAAGAAATTATACGACTTAGCAGAAGCTGGGCATATACAGTGGACCCTCGAGTTACAAACGGCCTGACACATGAGCAACTTGGGTTATGACCAGAATTTTAGTTTTAACTTATGACCAAAGTCTTCAGTTAGGACACAAATGCCAGCTGCTTGTGCTTCCAGATGGTCTGAGATACAGATTTAACCCTTAAAGAGTTCTGGAAGGAACATCATAACATCATTTCCTGTGTGCGGTTAATTGAGAAGTCCTGCACCAGTGTCTCTCTAAGGACACTGAGATCTGCCTGTATACAGGAAAGAGACTTTGTAGAAGAGCTTGAGTCTTCAGTTGACCAATTTGAGTTAGAACCAGCTCTTGAGAACGAATTGGGTTCATAAGTCAAGGGTTCACTCTATTTTAACTAATTAGAGCACTATTCTGTTGCATGTGAGTATAAAGTTAATACAAAAATACATTTTTTTTTCCTTTCGTTGTTTGTCTTTCAGGACAAACAGGTTATTGGCATTCATACATTCTCTGTAAATATGAAATTGGAAGCTCTGGACCCATGGTCACCTTTTGAGATCTCTCCTGCTACGGTTGTTAAGGTAAAATGGAAGGAATCCTCTTAGTAAAAGTCCCCATCACGGTGGCTGATTTAGAAAATTATAGTGTTTTGATCCTCATTCTCTGTTAATTCAGCTTGTTGCCAGGCATGGTGGTGCAGTCCTATAATCCCAGCGCACGGGAGGCTGAGGCAGGGGGATTGCTTCGAGTTTGAGGCCAGCCTGGGCTATGTAGTGAGTTCAAGGGCAGCCTGAACTACGTAGTGAGGCCCTGTCTCCACACCACACCACACCACACCTCTAGCTTATGCTCATTTTGTTTTTATTGTCCAGCTTTCTGTGGGCAGTTCTCTCTTCAGAGCCTGGTAGCCATAGCCAAGCAAAGACTTAAGGCCTAGACACCAAGTAGTGAGGACGGGGGCTGTATTCTTTGGGGCAGGCCTAACTGTGTCTAATGAGAGGAGGTTTAACTGTGTTTTTGTTTTGTTTTGTTTTGGTACCGGGGATCAAACTTGGGACCTTGCACTTTCAAGGCAGGCAGTGCAACCACTGAGCTAAATCCCCGGCCCAGGAGGTTTAACTGTTTGTAGTCACTGTGTCTGTAAAGTATAGAGGCAGGGTGTGTCATCACTGTCCTGCCTGGTACAGTTTACTGGAATAAGGAAATGTAAGTGAACCAGACAATCAGTGTCACAAGGTCTGGCAGTAGGATGACTACAGCCTTGTATTGAAGATTGAGATTTTATTCCTCAGAAGACTGACAAATGCCAGGAGTAACCAGAACAGCTGAGCACATTGTCAAGGACCAATGACCCAGTTAGTACACGAGGGAGAGGATTCAATGTAAGACCATAGCAGAAGCCCGTTTACTGAAGGTAGGATCAGAAGTGGAGTGTAACTAGGGCATAGTTCCTTGACTGCTGAATCATCTGATCTGCTAATATAAATTTTCTTTGTCTTGGTAGAAGATTATTTTCTGAGCAAGGGAGAATTCTGAACTTGTATGTAAGGTCATAATACTGTATCTGGAGTAGGAAGAAATGTGGTTTAGGAGCCAGAGGAAGTTTATTAACTTCTCTTTGGCATTGGAAACTGGGCAAGGATCTGCAGTTGACTCTTCACTGAGCTTAAACTAAATTTTATTTGGGAGCCCAACTATCGGGTTTGAATCCAAGTTTTGCTACTTCTTGACTGGATAACCTGGGACAAGTTACTGTTCTAAAACTCATTTTCCTTACCTAGAAAATGGAGTTGTTAATGTGGTGTCCCATTAGATTGTTAGGAAGATTAAAATGAAATTAATATGTGGTCGGATAAAAAATATGGTGAATTTAAAAAATTTGTTACACCGGGGATTTAGCTCGGTGCCGCCACCTGCCTCGCAAAGGCAAGGTCCTGAGTTTGATCCCTGGTACCAAAAAAAAATTTGTTACAGTAAAAGATATATTGTCATTAATCCCCCTCAAAATATTCTCCCATGCTTTGAATACATCCTGTCCTTCTTGCCAGTTTCTGAAGCAGTTCTGGAAGTCGTCTTTGGTGTGTGTCTTTAGCTGCTTTGATGTCCTGAACTGATTGAAAATGTTTACCTTTCACAATCACTTTGACTTTGGGGAAGGACCAGTGGTCATATGATGCCAAATCCCATGAATGAGGACACATTGTAATGTTTTTACAAGTTTGGCTTTTCATTGGTTGGCACTAGGCAACACCATGACCATTTTTTTCATCATACCTCATAAAGACACTCAGAAAGGAAATGCCAGAGCTGCCTCAGAAAGTGACAAGAATTATGAGAATAAGCACCTCTGAAGCCGGGGGAGTGTTTTGAGGGGGATTGATGACAACTTGTCTTTTACTATTACTAGTTTTTAAAATTTATTCACCATATATTATGACCATCATGTATTATACTTAAAGTGGTGCCTGACACAGCTAGCATTTATTGAGCATTTAGCGTTATTACATGTGACTGCACTTTTGTGACATGTTTGGCTGTGCTGAGAAAAAAAAATACATGTGTATGTACCTACTCATATATACATGTAACCATTTGTCTATTTCATTTGTTAATTGCATGTGCAGGTTTTTGATGAGAAGTACTTTCTGGTGGAGATGGATGACTTGCGGCCAGAGGGCCATACACGGCGATCATTTGTGTGCCATGTTAACAGTCCTGGCATCTTTCCTGTGCAGTGGAGTCTAAAGAACGGTATACATATCAGCCCACCTCCAGGTTTGCATTCACAGTCTTCTGTGTTGTTCCTTTAAATGAATTGTGCAGGGTCGTGTTGCCAAGATCTTTTCTCTTTCTCCTCAAATCCCTAATATTTTAAGAGCCTGAGACAAGTGAAAATGAAGGTCTAGAGTCCATATATTTACCTATGTGAAAGTGATAAATCAAATTAAGAAACTGTTAGAGTATGTTCCACCCTCAGACTTTGACATGTATACCTATGTGATCAAAAGGCCATGCTCATACCCAGATTCTCTGCTGGCTCTGCAGTGGGCTCTGTCTTGCATCAGTTGGGCAGTCATGGGTGGGCTAGGATGTACACTGAGTAGTGGGAGCTGGCCTTGAGCCACAGCTGAGAGGAAGAGGACTGATCATGTTTAGAATCTGGGCCTTGTGGAAGGTGCTTCTTAGTGGGAATTTAGGGTTAAAAGTAGGACTCACAGAGCCTCGAAGTAGGAAAGTAACAGCTCTTTGAAAATATAATCTTGACCTTTTAATCAAGGCACTTGATTATTATTTAGTTGTGCTTAACTAAAAAATAAATTTTTTTTGAGACAAAGTCTCACTATGTAGTTCAGGCTGGACTTGGACTCACTGTGTATGTAGCCCAGGGTGACTTGAAACTCAAGGTGATCCTCCTGCCTCAGCCTCCTGAGTGCTGGGATTGCAGGCATTTCCCACCATGCCTGGCTGAAATTTTTTTTTTTTTTTAGTTTATTGGCACATTTTCGGTATACAATACAGTTACATTCATCATTGGGATCTTGTACCTTTACATGATGTATCTTGAAATTTTTAATTTTTAATTTTGGTATCGGGGATCGAACTCAATCCTTGAACTTGCGAGGCAGGCAGCGGAAGCACTGAGCTAAATCCCCAGCCCAATTTTTAATATTTTTAAACTTAAAGTATTAGAAAAATGTCAGATGTTTATCTGATTTTTAGTAGTCTTTTGGTAAGCATGGCTTCACTCCCTAAATACTACTAAATCTTGAACAGTGGGCTGGAAATACTCTTTTGTGTTAATAGGGATTATAAACTCAGAACCTTTAGCCTTCATTTCTGCCTTAGTTCACCCAGGAAACATTTATGGAATATTTACTCTGACCCAGACACTGAATCTGTCACAGGGGAGATAAAAACAAGTATAACTCTGCCCCTTCAGGGGCAGCTCAGATGGGCAAACACAGAACTTCTAGGTTCTCCTCCATCGGGGAGCAGAGCTTATGAATGGTCCATGCAGGGTGTGATGTGGAACACCAATAGAAGGAAGTTCTTTTGCAGGTGGGCACGGGAGGAACATCTCCAAATTCTTTGTCCTGCTTTCCACCTTTGTGTGAAGGAGAAAAGCAATGATTAAAGATAGCAGAATTTTGAGCATTGTTAATAGCCACATCAATTGCCTTGTAAACAGAGAGAAGGTAGTAGATTATGAAATTGAAAATGGTATAAAATGTAGTGCTAGGAAACGAGAGGGAGGCAGCGTATTTCTCAACTGGGTGGAAAAGTCATTTCAGGGGTGTTTGGCTCTATGAGGGCACAGTCTTGAGCAGCCTGCTCTGTGCCTTTGTAGTACTGAATTCTGCGAAGGCACAGAGCAGTTCAGACAGCAAACAGGCCACCCAGCTCCCTGCATGCATGGCACTGAGTCAAGGCACTAGTTTGGAAATGCTTCTGTCAATACCTTGGTAGATTGAAGTATGGACTTGAGCCTGACTTTTCCTGAAATGAATTCGTGATTTAGATTATAAGAGCATTGTGATTTAAAGAATGTTTTTCCAATTGACACACAGTAATTTTAAGTATTCATAGGATGCAATGTGGCATTTTAGTGCATGTGTACAATATGTAATGATCAGATCAGGATAATTGGTGTATCTATGATTCAGAATCCTTACTAGCTGTTTTGAAATGTTCAGCCTAATTTTTGTTAATTATAGTAACCCTATTGTGCTGTGTAACAGAAGTTATCCCACTTATTCTACTGCACACCTGTGTCCCTTAACCATCCTCTTCCCAGCCCTCAGAGCCTTGAGATTCTGTAGCACATAAATCTGAAAACTGCTAACAACATCATGTCGGTAATTAGCTAAAAACATGTTCTAAGGAAATAGCCTTATCAAAGAAAAAGTCACTGATTAAATTGTACTGTTTGTTATTTCTTTGCAGTCAGAACATAACTCCTAATAAGACTAGATTCATTTGTATAGATCAAATCCAGTCATAACTATCTTAAATTCTTTTGGTAAATGCCAGCAATTAAACATATAAAATGTTGCTCAAAATAAATATCTTGTTTGAAATTTGAGAGTTTAGAAGTTTATCCAAAGAATTTCATTGTATTATAGTTTGACCAGAAGTACTCTATTTAATAAAATTTAACTACTCGAGGCCCTGGGTTCAATCCAAGTACCTGAAGGAAAAAAAAAAGCGCATAAGCCTGTAATCCCAGTACTTGAGGAGGCTGGGGCAGGAGGATCACAAGTTTAAGTCCTGCCTGGGCAACCTAGTGAGACTCTGTCTCCAAAAAAAAGGCATAAGGATGGGAATGTATCTCAGTGATAGAGTCCCCTGGCTTTAATTTTTCAGTACTAAAAATAATAACAACTATACCAAAGGCCTCAAATCAGCCACATTGGAAGTTGTGGGCGGACACCTGGCAGAGTGGTAAGAACCAAACAAGCACCCGTGGTGTGAATCATTGCTCTCTGTCTCCACACAGGCTACCCAGGCCAGGACTTCGACTGGGCTGACTACCTCAAACAGTGCGGTGCTGAAGCTGCTCCCCAGCGGTGCTTCCCCCCGGTGAGAACCCTCGTGGCCACCACTCGAGGGCTGCAGGGCCTGCTGTGGTCCCTTGCTTTCTATGACCGTTACTCTCAAGTTAGTCATCTCGCTCAACCCGGATGACCACTTTGCTGATTGCAATAAAATGGTCCAAAGAAAAATACATTTACTGCAGAAGTTAATTTGCTAATCAAGTTAGTTTTGTAAGTTTTAGCAGTTTTATTTTTTGTAATAACTGAAATCATGTGAGTTTGAGATTTTATTTCATAATTTGATGGTTTAATACAGTAATATGAAAAAATATTGAAACATTAAATGGAAAAAATTACTGTTTTTTGAAAAATACTTCTATCCAAATGATACATCCATGTATTTTCAAAAGCAAAATAGGGCCGGGGATGTAGCTTAGCAGTGCCACACCTGCCTGGCAAGCGTAAGGTCCTGAGTTCAATTCCTGGTACCAGAAAAAAAAATTGAAAAGTAAAATAGCAGTAAAAAGCTTAGAATGTAGAAACACAGTCTCTGTCCTATCACTTTTCCTTAACCTCCCTTCCCAGTACTAATCACTTCCTTTTTTCTCTAAGACAGGGTCTCATTATGTAGTTCAGGCTGACCTTGAACTCATATAGCCCAGATTGGCCACAAACTCAACAGTGATCCTCCTGTCTCAGCCTCCCAAGTGCACCACCACACTTGGCAATGACTTCCTATTCTCATCACTGTAATTTAGCATTTATATTTCATTATCAAAATAATATACTGCCATCTTTTGAGGTATCAATTTTAGACACTGAGCATTTAGCTGTTTTACACTACCTTCCCCCTCTACTGTACTCACATCTTCCTGTTAGGATTCTGTTTCAATTTTTGGCTAAATCTCAATTGAAGTTTTGCATTATTGTGAGTATTCAAACATTTACAACTGAGCACTGCAGTATTTTATTCTTTTTTTTTTTTGGTACCAGGGATCGAACTCAGGTCCTTGTGCTTGTGCAGCTGGTGGCAAAACCACTGAGCTAAATCCCTGGCCCATTTTATTCTTTTTTTAAAATTTGTTTTCATGTTAACAATTGCTTTGTTTTTCATGGGGTTAATTTTCTTTTATATCAATTGTCACATCTCCCAATAGCCTCTTGTTACATCAGGAAATTCCTCATTTCTAAAATTTTTCTTAGACATCCCTTTTAACGGCCTCTATTTTTTCTCTCTGGACAGGTTCTCTGGACTTGCTATGTAGTTTTCTGGTTGTTTTTTTTTTTTTTTGGTACCAGGAATCGAACTCGGGTCCTTGCACTTGCGCAGCAGGCGGCGAAACCACTGAGCTAAATCCCCGGCCCTTGCCATGTAGTTTTAATTATTGAACTGCCCAAGGAATTGCCCTCTCCTCATTTCCTGTGGTTTGAGGAGCCCTGTTTTATAGTATGTCTCATGACCTCCCCGTTCTCAGTTTACTTCCTTGTTTTGATGGACCCATGATCTCTCAGTATCTTCCTAAAGAGGTACAAAGGATATAAATTGCTGTAGATGTCCTATATTTGAAAATGTTGACTATCTGTATTGCTGCCAGGAAGTTACAAGCTATTCTAGTCTTGATCTTTTGTAAATGACCTGATTTTTCCGTGGTGGGCGGTATAGAATCTTTCTGTTACCTCTTCTCACACTCATGCACTTTGATGTGGGGACTTTATCTCTGGACACTCTTGCCTTTCTGTACTAGGAAATTTTCTTGAATCTCTTCTTTTATTTCCTTTCTTTTGTTTTCTCCCTTGTCTCTTTCTAGAATTTAAAAGTTTCAGCTATTGGTCCTCTGGATCTAACCTCTCTTTTTTTTTACCTTTTTTCTCCTGTTTTAGTCTTTTTGTCTTGCTTTCTGGAAGATAAAGTAAACTTTTATTTTTCAACTCTTTTGAGATTTTAGTTTTTAAAACTACTTTTTTATTTTCCGGAAGTATTTCTCTTCTCAGAGTAGTTCTTTATTTTTAATAGTATATCATTCTTGTTTGAAGGATACATTAATTTTTCTTCTCAGAGAATGTTAATTAACATAAGCACCCTTTGGGGGGTTTTCTTGCATAATCACCACTTTCTCTAAGTTACTTATTTTGTGTTTTTGTCTGTAATTTTAATATCTTTAACCATCTAATAATTCTTGGTTATTGTTTATATTTAAAAATGGGAGGGCTGGGGATTTAGCTCAGTGGTTTTGCCGCCTGCTGCGCAAGGACCCGAGTTTGAACCCCAGTACAAAAAAAAAAAAAGGGGAGATTAAAGAAAAAACTGATTGGAAACTCTGAGCATGTGGCAAGGGCTTGTCAACCTTGAACTTTCCTCCAGGGTGGGAGGCTGGCTAGCTGAGCATGTGGATTAATACTGTAAATCCAGTAATTTTTTTTGTATGTATGTTCATGAAAAACTTATATACAATGAATATCTTTAAGTATATCATTTGATGAGATTTAACAAATACGTACAATTGTGTGACCCAAACCCTTACCAAGATACAGAATGTTCTGGGCTTGGTGGTGCGTGCCTATAATCCCAGGTGCTAAGGAGGCTGAGGCAGGAGAATCACAAGTTTGAGGCCAACCCGAGAAACTTAGTGAGACCCTGTCTCAAAGTAAAATTAAAATTACAGAAGGGGATGGGGATGTAGCTACATCCCCTAGGTTCAATTTCCAGTATGGGGAATGGGGAGTGGTGAAACATTATTGTTATTCCCAGAAAATTCCCTTTTATCCTTTCTCATTCATTCCTCACTACTGTCCATCCAGAAATAAACATTGTTCAGTAAATTGATTTGATTCATTCATTTTTTAGTCAGTTTCTGAGCATGAGTTTAAGGAGAACATGAAGCTTGAGGCAGTGAACCCTCTTCTCCCTGAAGAAGTGTGCATCGCCACCATTACTGCAGTCAGAGGCCCCTACCTGTGGCTCCAGCTGGAGGGTAAGTGCAGGCACTCCTGAAAGTGTCCCGTGCCCACTCTGCTTTGTTCTTCCTGTATACTCCTTTGGTGTGGCTTGGTGTAATTAAAGGACAAGTAAATAATGATCTTTTTCAGAGACTTCTAACTTGAAATGCAAGATTCTAAGCTAAAAAATTATTTTCTTGTCCTTGACTTTCAAATTTTAGGAAATGAATTTGAATAACCTTTATTATAGTGTCCTCTATTTTCTTGAAGGTAAGTCAAATAGCATATATTTTTACATGATCACAATAAATGAACATGAACATTAGCACGAGGCTTAGTGAAGAGATGTTTTGATTACTGCAAACCCTCAGAACCAGAAAGTATATAAAGTAGAAGTGATGTATTTTATTCACCCTAGTATTCAGTGATTGGGCATGTTCTTGGAATGAAGGCCATGTGAGTACTTAATGTAGCATTTACTGTGTGTGGCCTGGGTTACTTTTTCTTCCTGCTGCCAAATAATCATACTCTGAGAAGATACCTACTACTTCTTATTTTATAGAATTGGCATTTAATGCGGATGTGAAGGAGAGTATTAAATGTAGAGTTTCGGGGCCAGGGATTTAGCTCAGTGGTTCTGCCGCCTGCCTCGAAAGCACAAGGACCCGAGTTTGAGCCCTGGTACCCCCCCAAAAAAAAGAAATGTAGAGTTTCATGCAACCTCTGCTGATTACTTGGCCTAATCACTTTCTGATTTGAATTTACTATTCTACTTTCTGACTTATTCCCAGAGTACCAGAACTAATGTTATTATTGAATAGAACTGTCACTTTGCCTTTTGGTTTCTAGTTATTTCAAGGAATTGACTGTAATTCTTAGCAGTCTGAATAATACCATTGGTAGTTCCAGTTGTTTATTTGCTACGAATTAACCTTATTTTCACTACCCATTTTGGTTCTTACAAGTTATGCACAGGGACAGTTTACTTTTTTCATAATGTTTACCCTACATGAAAAAGTATGACTTCCATGAAAAAGATACTGGGTTAAGAGACTTGTGTCTTTATTATTGCTATAATAGAACATTGTTTAGAAAGTATTGTACTGTACTTTATGGAGCCTATTTAATGAGCTAAAAGGGCTTTGTTTTGTTCTGCTTTTAAAATTTAAACAGGATCTAAGAAGCCTGTACCTGAATGTATTGTGAGTGTGGAATCCATGGATATATTTCCTTTGGGCTGGTGTGAGACCAATGGCCACCCCCTCAGCACTCCTCGCCGGGCACGAGGTACCTGTTTGTGGGTTAGAGTGCTGATTGTGGCAGCTACCAATTAGTATGAATCTGGACCTTTCAGAGAAAAAAATTATATTCTGGCTGCATAGACAATTACTTATTGCAACAGTATTTATTTTCTTAGTTTCTGTGGCTTGGGGTCTGGGTACAACTTAGGTGATCCTCTGTATCCAGGTATCTCATAGGTTGCAGTGAAGTTAGCAGCCAGGGCAAAATTGGCACAGCACCACTGAGCTACATCCCTGGCCCCTGAAGCCTTCTTGCTATTTTCTCACATTTTAACTTTCTAGGGCCTCTTTTAATAAGGGCACTAATTCTAATCTTGCCCTTATGATCTAATTACCTTCCAAAGACCCCACCTTCTACTGTTTTTTGTTTTTTGTGGGCTTTTTTGGTACGGGGGATCAAACTGGGGTCCTTAACGCTTGCGAGGCAGGCGGTGGAACCACTGAGCTAAATCCCTGGCCCCCACCTTCTGATATGAATACTTTGGTTATTAAGTTTCAGTATGAAATTGGGGGAGCATAGACATTCAGACCATAGCACAAGAACTTACTTCCTTGGGCTGTTGGCTTGGAAGCTTCCCTTAGATCTCTGCCACGTGGAGCTCTCCATAGGACTGCTCACTGCATGGCAACTGGGTTCCATCAGAATGAGAACAAGAGAGGCTGAAGAAGAGAAAGCCAGAGGCTGTAATCTTATATTGAAAGTGACTGCGTACCTCCCCTCTTTTAAAAAGTTTTTTTGAGATACAACTAACATCCATGAAATTTGCTCTTTTAAAATTCAATTCAGTGGTTTTATCATATTCGCAGAGTTATACAATTATCACAGCTATTTGAAAACATTTTTTTTCATTTCTGTAAGAGACCTCATACCCTGTAGAAACACCTTCTTCCCAGGGAACCACTAATCTCCTTTCTGTCTCTGTAGACTTGACCATGCTGGACGTTTCATATAACAGAAATCGTACCATAGAATGGGTCTTCTGTGACTGCCTTCTTTCATTTAGCATAATGTTTTCAGAATCCATCCATCTTATAATGTCTTTTATGTAACTGAGTAATATTCTATTATATAACTATACCACATTTTGTTTCATCATTGGTGAATGAACATTCGGGTCATTTCCATTTTTATTATTATAAATAATGCTTCTGTAAACATTAGTAACCTGTTTTCATATAGATATATATTTTCATTTCTCTTGGGTATATTCTGAGAAGTGGTATTGCCGAGTCATACAGTAACTCTCTATTTAACAGCTTGAGGAACCACTAAACTCTTTTTTTTGGTACCAGAAATCAAACACAGGACCTTGCGCTTACGAGGCAGGCACTGGAACCACTGAGCTAAATCCCCAGCCCACCACTAAACTCTTTTTGAAAGCAGCTGCATCATTTAGCTCCCCCAGCAATGTGTGAGGCTTCAGTTACTGCACATCCCCCCAACACTTATATTCTATTCTTGTTTGTTTTTGATAGTCATCCTAATGTGTATTAAATGGTGTCACATTATGGTTTTGATTTCCTTTTTCCTAATGATAGTCATGTTGAGCATCTTTTGCATATGTTTGTTGGTTATTAGCATATCTTCTCTGGAAAAATGTGTACTTAAGTCTTTTGTTCATTTTTACATTATATATTTTATTGGTGCATATTAATTTTATAAAATACTGAGTTTTGTTGCATTTTCATATATGCATAAAACATTTTGATCACAGCCATCCTCGTTACCCTCCTGTAGACTACTCTCCCCCTCCTCAACCCCTTTCCTCTTATCCAAAAGCCTTCTTTCTACTTTCTTGACATTCTTTTTTTTTTTTTCCTAGTGTCTACATATTAGGGAAAACATGCAATACTTTTCTTTCTGAGTCTGGCTTATTTTGCTTAACATGGTAATTTCTAGTTCCAGTCGTTTTTCCATAAATGACATAATTTTATGCTTTTTTATGGCTGAATAATACTCCGTTGTGTATATAAACCATACTTTAAAATCCATTCATCCATTCACTGGCACCTAAGCTACTTCTGTATGTTGACTGCTGTGAATTGTGCCACAGTAAACATGGGTATGCAAGTATCCCTGTAGTATGCTGATTTTAATCCCTTCAGGTGTATACCAAGAAGCGTTATATCTAGATCATGTGGTAGTTCTGTTTTTAGAGGAATATCTGTACTGATTTTCTTAGTGGCTATACTAATTTGCATTCCCACCAGTAGTGTATAGGGTTCCTTTTTCCATGTATCTTAGCTGGCATTTATTAGAGTTGTTTTTTTGTTTGATCTTAATAGTAGCCATTCTGATTGGGGTGAGATGGAAACTCCATGTGGTCTTGATTTGCATTTCCCTAATAGCTAGAGTTATTGACACTTTTTCATATAATTATTGACCAGTTGTATTCTTTTGAGAAGTGTCCAGTTCACTTGTCCATTTTTTATCTTTTTTTTCTTTTGGTGTTAAATTTTTTGAGTTCATTTTATGTTCTGCATTTTAATCCTCTGTTGGGACAGTAGCTGACAGAGATTGTCTCTCATTCTATAGGCTGTTTCATCATTCTGTTATTTCCTTTGCTGTGGAGAAGCTTTTTAATTTGATGGAACCCCATTTGTCAATTCTTGCTATTTCCTGAGTTTTTGGAGTCCTATTCAAGAACTGACTGTGCCTAGGGCCAGGGATTTAGCTCAGTGGTGCCACTGCCTGCCACACAAATGCAAGGTCCCGAGTTCGATCCCTGGTACCAAAAAAACAAAAAAACAAAAAAACACTCACTGTGCCTATATCTTGAAGTGTTTCCCCTATGTCTTCTTTCAGCAGCTTCAAAGTTTCAGATCTTATATTTAGATATTTGATCCATTTTGAGTTGATTTTTTTGTTTTTTGTTTGTTTTTACATTTTGAGACAGGGTCTCACTGTGTAGTTCAGACTGGTCTTGAACTCATGGTGACCTCCTGTCCCAGCCTCCCAAGTGCTGGGAGTGTGCCACCACACCTGGCTTGAGTTGAATTTTGTACATCATAAGAAATAAGGTTCTACATTTAATACCGAGTTTCCCCAGCACCATTTGTTAGAAAGGCTCCAACATATGTTTTGGCCTCTTTGTCAAGAATCAGATAGCTTAGCTGCATGGGTCTCTGCCCAGTTTAAAACTATTTTCTTTATCTTTTAATTACTTATATCTTTGTATAGTTTAGATATTGACTTGGAAATATTTTCTCCCATTTTGTTGGTTACCTTTTTACTCTCCTGATATGCACAAGATTTATTTCTTTTCATGCAGTTTTAAATTTTGATTTAGTCTAATTTAACTTATTCTTTTCTTTTTCTCTTGGTATCATATTTTAAATATCATTTAAAAATCCAGCGTCATGAAGATTTTCTTATATATTGTTGTGTAAGAGTTTTATAGTTTTATATCTTAGGTTTAGATCTTTGATCTATTTCGAGTTAATTTTTGTATATGATGTAAGGTAAGAGTGCAGTGTCTTTCATGTAGATGTCCCGTTTTTGTAGCATGATCTGTTGAAGACCGCCCTTCTCTGTTGAGCAGTCTTAACACCCTTTGTGAAATCGGTTTTTCTTTTGAATATCAGTTTTTGCTTGGAAATTCCTTACAGGAATTGATTGACTCAGAGAACTTTGAAAATACTGTTTTTGCTCCTTGTGTAAAGACTCCTCTCCAGAAAGTGTGTGTCAGATATTCAGACCCACAGGCACCAATTTAGCACACATAATAGTTATACCAAGTATTAAATATGTCACAATAAGTTTAATACATATGTAACTTTTCCTTTTGTCTTTTTTTTTTTTTTTTTGGCATTTTCTTTTTTTACAGTCCATAAACAGAGGAAAATTGCGGTGGTTCAACCAGAAAAACAGTAAGTAACATAGTAGAACATCTGAATAGTTGAAATTTGAAAGTTTGAATATCTAGAAAAAGAAATAAGATATCAAGAGTATGTCTTCTCTTGTGTTATTTTCTTAATTCAAATTTGATAGTTTATATACATTTTCACACAATGTATGCATTTTCTAAAATGGCTTTATATAAAAAGCTCAAGATGTTTTCCAAATTCATTTTCTTTAGCTTTTAGAGCCTGAAGTCATTTGAATAATAGAAAAGAAGTAAGAGCCCCCTACAGGTATTTGTGAAGGAAGAACAAAAATTGTAAAGAAGGAAATGATTTGTTATAGTGTCTTGAGGTAGAAGAAACAATTCCAGAAGAAAAGACACTCAAAAGAGTTTCTTTGTGCCCATTAAGAAACTCTTTGTGGCATCTTCACACACAGCTTTTAAAAAGAAAAGTTAATTAGTGGTTCCTTTGAATCTTAAAAATATAAAGGTTTCTGTGTGTGTGTACGTATGTTTTTCACCATTGGGTTTTGAATTCTCTATTAGTCTGCTGTAAGAAAACATTGCAGGGCCGGGGATTTAGCTCAGTGGTTTCGCCGCCTGCTGCACAAGCTCAAGGACCTGAGTTCGATCCCCGGCACCAAAAAAAACACCAACAAAAATCAAAAAAAACATTGCAGACTGGTTGGCTAAAACCACAGAAATTTATTTTCTCATATTCTGGAGGCTGGAAATTCCAAGATCAAAGTGCCAGCTGGCTTGGTTCCTGATCAGGGCTCTCGTCCTGCCCTATTTATGGCTACCTTCTGGCTGAGTCCTCACATGTTAATACCTCTCTGTCCTTCCCTCCCTCTCATATGCCTTCCTGCCATCATTTTTCTCTGCCTCCCCTCCCTTTCTCCCTCCCCTTCCTTCATTTTTTTCTCCCTCTCTTCTCTCCTCACCCCCATCCCTCCCTCCCTTTTTCTCTTCCTCTCACTCTTCTCTTTTTTTTCCTCCTCCCTCTTCTTCAGAGGCCACCAGGCCTATCAGATTATGGCCCTGTGGTTATGACCTCATTTAATGTAGATTACTTCTCAATATGGTTACATTCATTTTTTTAAGGCCATAGGATTTTATTCTAGGTAGAGAAATGAGATAATGATGACAAAAAACTGACCTTGGATTTTTCTTTGACTTAGTTATTGAGACCAATCCTAAACTTTAGACAGGAGGCATTCTAGAAAGAAGAATTAGCCCTTTTCAGGGATTGCTGCATGCAGAGTAAGTCTCTGGGCTTTTCTTTTAAAAGATAATTTTTAAACAATTTTGAAATGAGTGGAAGAACGGTATAAGAAGTGTTTCTGTTATGTGACTATTGAAAAAAAATGGATACTTTAAAAATCCTTCAAGAAGCTGGGCATATTGGTACAGGCATGTAATCCCAGTACTCAGGAGATTGAGGCAGGAAAATTACAAGTTCAAGGCGAGCCTGGGCTACCTAGCAAGACCCTGTCTCAAAAAAAAAAAAAGTTAAGAATCCCATAAGAAATTTTCTAATTTTTTACACACATATATATCGTTGAAAAGAAAATTCATCTAAATATGCAGTATCACGTCACTGTCTACAAATTGTCCATTGCCTCATTAGTCTCTGTACATAGCTTTAGAAGCAATTGCAGATTTAAAAGACTGTGTGATGGAGGACCTTCTAGTACAGATTTTGCAACCTGCCACGTTAGCTTTCTTTTTAGATTTGAAGGAAACTAACCTTCATGCTGTGCTGATATTAAGGATGATCTCACTAGTTTGGCTGTGTTTTCTTAACCCAGAATACCATCCTCGAGACCTGTTCACGAGGGCCTAAAGAGTCAAGAGCTGAACTCTGCAGACTCAGGTATAAGCATTTGTGATCTTACAGAAAAGAAGACCCTTAGTTTCTTCTAATGGGCTATATCTGACATTTGATTTACAGAATGTACATTCAGAGAGGAGTTGCGTAATTGTGACTTTAGAGTTGTAACAATCCAAGATATGTTTTGTAGTCATCTGTGTGCTGATATTTCTACCCAGTTATAATTAATTGTAGCTTTTCTTTTTGGTACCGGGGATAGAACTTGGGACCTTGCGTTTGTGAGGCATGCAACGGCACCACTGAGTTAAATCCCTGGCCCCAATTGTAGCTATTTTTTACTGATCACTTGTGTACCAAGAGCTGTAGAGGTCAATGTTACTATTACTTACTTTAGATGAAGGAACCTGAGGGTTTCCGGGGGAATGCTCTTTCTTAAGCTAGGTACTTAAGTGATGGTGACTTATTTTTTTAATACTTTTTATGATATACACACTATATATAAATTTCACAATTAAAATATAGAATGCTGGATTTAGTTGATTGTCCCAGAAGCAATGACTGATTAATGAGATGAGGCCAGAGGTTCAGGTTTTGTCCAGGGTCTGTCTCTCTCTCTCTCTCTTTTTTTTTTCGGTGCTGGGGATCAAACTCAGAACCTTGCGCTTGCCAGGCAGGCACTGTGCTGCTGAGCTAAATTTATAGCCTCCAGGGTCTTTTTTTTTTTTTTTGGTACCGGAGATCGAACTCCGGTCCTTGCGCTTGCGCAGCAGGCGGCAAAACCACTGAGCTAAATCCCCCAGCCCCCGAGGGTCTTTTTAATACAACTCTTGACTAGCCCTGTGCTAGCTGTACAATGCTGAGCATCTGGGCCATGTGTATTCTAGCACAGATTGAACACTCAGGTGGTATTTAGTAAATGCCTAGAAAAGAAACCAGGGCTCAGAGAGCTTGTACAGCTTTTGAGAAAAGGGTAGTTCAAAACTTTTTCTCTTCTACCCCACTACCATTTCATTATATTGTTTCTACATAGAGGATTAGGACTGTGTTAATTTCTTATTTTTGATGCTTTCTAATATCTACTGAAACTACAGAATTAAGACATTAATATCTTCTCTATCATCTCAACTTTGGCATTTTGGTTTGGGTTTTATCATAGGTCAGGTTCCTTGGGAAACAGTCTGAGCCTCTGTTAATTGCATGCTGGAGTTTCATTGGGAATGGTTTTGGAAACAGCTCCTGGAAGGAACAAAAGATGCAGGAATAAAGGAAGCAGGATTACCTCGAGAGATAAACTGAAGTGCAATGCAGTTGCAACAGAAGTTTCTTTTAGTGCCAAGAAAGTCTTCAAACTGATACTGCCACAGAGAGTGTCTATAATCCTGGCATAGTGGCCATACCTTATATGTTAGTTATTAGAAGTATGCTGTAGCTCCCACCCTACCTCACAAGGAATGGGACCTTCAGCAAGGTATCTCTCCTATTCAGGGCAGCCCAAGCTCAAGGCAATTAAAGGATATACTCATAAGCAAGAGCTGTAAACTGCCAACATTTCCAGTAGCAAGGGGCATGAGTGCCTTAATCCTGACTAAGGGTTATGGGTGGCAGATTCAGATGGAAAAGTGGGCACAACAGGTTCACCACTGTGCTAAGACTGTAATCTTAATTAAAGAGAGAACATTATAAACATCAATGTCTACCAACAGTGGAAATTGTGTACTTATTTGCTTTCCTTAATGCTGGATTGAATAGGAAGTATTCACAGAAGAATCTCTCTCTGCTTTATACCAAAATGAAGATATTTCAGTGTCTTTGAAGTTTTTAAATTTAGTAGTTCAGATTCCAGTCACTGTAAGGGGATTTTTAAAAAAGATTAATTAAGCACAGTGTTCATTAGAAAAATAGTTGAGAGAAGGATCTCAAGGCCTGCTTATATGCACAGTGTATAAAAGGAACACTGATATGTGTTCATAGCATACAATAGTTTTAGCCTTCTGAGAAATCTCACAGTGAGAGAGTTCCCACAGCATCAAGGATGTCAGAATACCCAGGCATGGTGGCACACGCCTGCAATCCCAGCATTCTAGGAGACTGAGGCAGGTGGATCGCAAGTTCGAGCCTAGCCTATCTCAAGCAAGACTGTCTCAAAATAAAAAATAAAAAGGACTGGGGACATAGCTCAGTGTGAAGGCCCTGGGTTCATTCTCTAGCAACACCCACACAAAGGGCGTTTGGGGTTTGGGGTGGGGTCAGTGTATTTGTTTGATGGATTTTAGGAAACAAACTAGTTCTGGATAATATTCCATGTCAATCCCTACAAATATTCCAGAATAGATTATTGAGTAGTTGTTTTTCGAAGAACTGGAAATCTTTGTCAGGATCATCATGGTTCATGAAGTCGATTCTCCACTTTCTTTATTGATAGAAATATCAGACTGACTCTGAAACAATGTCCAGGAAATAATCAGCATGTAATTCAGGACATTTGTTTTATTTTAGCAGAGTGATAAACTCAGTAATCTAGGATGAGGTAAGCATAAACTTCTAGGTATACCATATTTCAAGATCATCCTCAGATAATATATTAAGCTTCACATATGTAATTCTGGGCCTGGGGGTACACATCAGTAGTAGAACACCTGCTTAGCATGCACGAACCCCTGGTTTCAATCCTTTGCACCACACAAACACACACACACACACACACACAAAAGCAAAAGTAATTTATAAAACTCACACAGTGAGGTGTATGCTTGAACTTTTCTCCTTAGTAATTAAGCTTTCTAAACGTGGGGAGGAGAATGACTATTCTTAATATTTGTTTTTTCTTAATTTCTCAGTTACAATTAATGGAAAGTATTGCTGTCCAAAGATATATTTCAACCACCGTTGCTTCTCAGGGCCATATCTTAACAAGGGAAGAATTGCTGAGCTCCCACAATGTGTAGGACCTGGGAACTGTGTTCTGGTCCTCAGAGAGGTAAGGTTCTGGCCTACAGCAGAAGAACTTGGAAATTTGATCATAGCACTCTCCTAGGATATGGGGAGCCACATATCATATATGTGACAACTCTAGGCTTTATCAAGTTAAAATTTTTTCATATATAGTGGTCCCCTGTTATCTTTGAGGGATATGTTCTAAGATAGTGGTGGCGAACCTGTGGCACAGGTGCTATGGCTGGCTGTTTTCATTGAAAGCTCTAAAAGGTTCACTATCACTGTTCTAAGACCTTAACAAATACCTGAAAATATGGGTACAGCCAAAGCTTATATGGTATGTTTTTTAAAATATATATACATAACTATCATATTAGTCCATTTTTTGAGGCAGTCTACTTATGAAGAAAGTGGTTTATTTAGCTCATGTTTTGGAGACTGAAAGTCCAAGATCAGGTCACCTAGTGGATTGAGCCTCTTGACTACACTGGATCATGACAGGAATGCATGTGTGGGAAAGAGATCATATCACCAAATCAGGAGCCAGAGAGACACTGGGATCCCACCATTCCTTCCAAGGGTATGCCGCTAGTTGACCTCAGGAACACCCCGTAGGTCCCATCACCTCATCACCTCCCACATTACCATGTTGGGAGCAAGCTTCCAACCCATGAACTTTTGGGGGAGACACGTAAACCATAGCAGCTGTGATAAAGTTTAATTTGTAAATGAGACACAGTAGGACATTAACAACAACAGTAATAAAACAGAACAATTGTAACAACATACTGTAATAAAAGTTATATGAATGTGTTCTGTCTCTCAAAATGCTTAGGGCTGTATTCACTCGTCTAATTGTGATAGTGTGAGACGATGCACTGTCCACATGTTGAGATGAAGTGAGCTGAATGATGTGGGCACTGTGATGCCACATTAGACTGCTTCAAGGGTTACTTGAACACAAACACTGCACTATTTAAGTAGTTGATCTGATAACTCATACAGCCACAGACCAACAGATGAGTAGCATATACATTAGGATTTTGCTGAACAAAGGGGCGATTCACGTTGCAGGCAGAATGGCACAAGATTTCATCATGCTACTCTGAACAGTGTATAATTTCAAATGTATAACTCATTTATTTCTGGAATTTTCCATTTAATATTTTTGACCATAAGTAACTGAAACTTAAAGTGAAATCACAGATTATGGGGTATTGCTGTACTGCATAGTGAATTGGGCATGTAATTATTTCTGCTCCCTAGGGAACACTTAGGTAAGCAGTTCTTCACAGAGCGAGCTCACTTCTGTTAGAGACACACGAGAGCTATGCAAGAGTGAACTGTGAGAGCCAGGTGTGGTGGAGCACGCCTGTAATCCCAGCACTCAAAAGGCTGAGGCAGAAGGATCACCGCGAGTTCGAGGGCAGCCTGGGTTACACAGTGAATTCAAGGCCAGCCTGCACTACAAAGTGAGACCCTGTCTCAGAAAAAGTGAACTGTGAGATTAGTCTATGACTTAGAGGCTTCATGGCATTAACTGAGAGCCATGACAAAGCTATGAATCTGCTGACTTTTATGCTCCCAGCTCATGTGCTGCACCATGAGTAATAGATGTGAGGACTTGTAGAACCTTTCAACCCTTAGGGTGGCAAGGCAGGGCCTCACAAGGCCAGAGCTTCTGGGCCAGCCTCCTTTAGCCACAAGAATGCTTCACTGTCTGCATAGTGTTCCAAACACATAATTTTCTGTGTGTACCACTTTTTGCAAAGCATTTGGAAGCAAGTGACAGAGTAAATTGAAATTCATAGTGCCTGTTTTTTACTAACCATAACATTTTGAATGTTTAATATGATCTGGTTATTCTTTATTTGCCACTATGGGCAGCTGTCATATTTTTGGTAATACTATTTTGTTAACATTTTTTAAATAAGAAAGAGTTAATTTCCAAAATGGTCTTAGTACTCTATGGGATAGGGAGAGTGCCATGGTTCTAATGGTGTGCTTTTCTCCTCCCCAACCCATATTTCTGCTTTAAAACTGAGCTTAGGTCCTCACTTTACTTATCAACGCAGCCTATAAGCCCAGTCGTGTTCTTCGGGAGCTCCAGCTGGACAAAGACTCTGTGTGGCATGGTTGTGGGGAAGTTCTAAAAGCCAAGTGAGTAGAATCCTTTATCCTTTGCTATTGTTTGTCTTTATTTGGTCACACAATCACTTCTGTGGATAATAGAATGCTTGTTTCCTATGGCAGTGCTGCCTCAGCTACTTGTGGCTTAGGCTTGTCATCTCTTAGTTTCCATTCTGTCATGGGTCAGTAAGTTTATAACATATGGTAGAAATGAATTACAAGAAATACTAAATTTAGGGCCGGGGATTTGGCTCAGTGGTTCCGTCGCTTGCTTTGCAAGCGCAAGGACCCAAGTTTGATCCCTGGTACCAAAAAAAAAGAAAGAAAGAAAGAAAAGAAATATGAAATTTAAAAGACAGAAATGCAAGAACAACATTTTATTACATTCAAGAGACATAAAACTACTTTTTCAAGTTCTTGTGAAAGTTCATAAACATTTACTCTTGTTTTCTGACTTGATTTTTTTCATGGATGGATGAATAGTAGTTGGCAGATCATACTGTATCCTTGAGCCACACCATGAGAATCACTGCCCAGGGTAAAGAAAGACTTAATGAAATGTTCGTATTCTTTTTATAACAATAATCAAAATTACTATTTGAAAACCTATACCTAAGAATAGAAAACTGGAACTTTATTTTGCCAATTTAAATAATAGCTTTTTGTTGTCATTGCTTACCAGATTTAAGTACAAGATACAGAACTTTCTTATTGTTCTCTGAGTCAAAAAACTGAAGGATGCAGAGTATTCTAAGAAGCAAAAATATTTTTCAGGTATATTAATATACTTGATTTTTCTCTGGGTAGTCACTGGCCCAATAAATTTGGCCTCTGATGTCTTCCAATGGCAGATATAAAGGAAAGAGTTATCGGGCTACTGTTGAAATAGTGAAAACAGCAGATCGGGTGACTGAATTCTGCCGGCAAACCTGTATCAAACTGGAATGCTGTCCTAACCTCTTTGGTCCACGGATGGTTCTGGATACATGTTCTGAGAACTGCTCTGTACTTACAAAGACCAAATACAGTGAGTTATGTTTTCCATGTGTGTTAACTACAGAAGCTTATACCTTACATCCTGGAAAAAAATTTTTTAAATTTTGCACACATTCATATGTAGACATTCATATGTAGACATACTTTTTCAATAAAGGATCAGAAAATAAATATTTTATGTCACCGGTCATATGATCTCTGTCACACATTGTTTTTTGTTTTGTTCTTTGTTTTTTATTTATTTGTTGGTACTGGGGATCAAACTCAGGTCCTTGTGCTTGTGCAGCAGGCAGTGGTGAAACCACTGAGCTAAATCCCCGGCCCTTGTTTAGTTGTTTAAAGAACTCTTTTAAAAATATAAGAACCGGGCTGGGGATTTAGCTCAGTGGTTCTGCCACCTGCTTCGAAAGCGCACGGTCCTGAGTTCAATCCCCAGTACCAAAAAAAAAAATATGTAAGAATCATTTTTAGCTGTAGGACCATGGGCCAGATTTGGCCTGTGGGTCCTAGTTTGTCAATTTTTATGTGACATGTATATAAATTAGCTAGTGCATCTAATAGGTATGTAATTTATTCATACAGTCTGCCTACTGTGTGCTGCCACTGTCCTAGCCCTGGGATACAATCATAAAGAAAATAAAAGTCCTGTCCTCTCTGAATTCTCATTTAATGTGGGACAGAGATAATAAACATGTAAGCAAATGTAGAGACAAGTATGAGGCATGGGGAATGAGGCAAAATAAGGAGGCATGAAAGAGAATGAGGAAGGCTGAGAACAGGTGGCCAGGGGAATCTTCTGACTGGGCACCACGTGAAGGAAACAAGGTTGCCAGCTGTGCACATGACTTGGTAAAGGGAGCAGTGCAATAAAGAAGCCCTGGTGGTGTAAATACCAAGAGGAAAGTGCAGTCTCACTCTGCACAGTCCTCCCTTCTGCTTATCTTCTCCTTTGTGAAACTGGGGCAGGAGTCATATGGGTTGAAATTTAAAATGTGGATTCTTATCAAAGCATTATCACCCCAAAACAAAATTCTTATCTTGCATTTCCTTAAGTACCGCAAACCCTGGTGTCACTTGGGAAAACTAACAGGGAGGAGGATTTTACTGTGTCAGATTTGAAATATTTATTTTAGGGATCTGTGACTCTTAAATTTTATAGTTCTTGCAGATAACTTGATCAGATCCGTCGGTCTCTGGGACTGTCTGTATTTCCAGCAAGTTCCTCAATACAGCTGATGATGCTGATCCACATTTGGCATGGCAAGCTTTCTAATCAGTATTTGAATTACAAAAGTGAAATTCATGGAGAAGTCTAACCTCCTAGTAATTTCTATTTGTATTTATTGAATTGTAAACTCCTTAAGGGCAGAGATTATTTTAGCTTATTATCACCCCTACATGTAGGAAATTGCAATTTTTAGGAGCTAGTGGAAAATATTCATGTAAATATATATGAATAATATTACATATATAGAGACAAACGCTTAGAAGATTTGTGGACTTTATTATGCTTTTTTGTCTGAATTTATCTTTCACAGTGATAAGTTGAAATTACCCTAGGTTTTAAAAGAATCTAATTTTTCCTAATTAGCAGTTTGAGGGATCTCCAATGAATTTGTGTCCTTAGGAATTCATTTTTACAGAAAATTACATTAGAATTTGATATTATCTTAATACATAACCCAGAACTAGAATATATTTCATTTTTGAATTATCTAATATTTTCTAAAACTTAAATGGAAATGCATAGGATCTAGAATACTTAAAATATTCCTGGAAAAGAATAAAGTTGAAGAACTTTTTCTCTCCACTCCTTGCTACCTTTTTTTTTTTTTAAACCATAAAGGTATAGTAATCAAAAGAACTTGGTATTAACATGTTCCCACCAGCTTGAACCACTGGTGGTACATACATGACTGTTCCATCAGGCAGCTTGATGAGACAACCTGATGAGACTGTGCTATGCTGCCTGATGGGACAATCACGCATATCTCCCTGGTGGTTTGGAGCTGCCCAGCAGCCAGACATACAAATTACTTCCCCATCATGAACATGTTAGAGTATTAAAAGTCTTGGGACAGAATAAAAGTTCTAGAAATAGGGCCAAATTATGTATGGTCAAATGATTTACAGGGGTAACAAAATTAATGGGGGAAGGAAATTCTTTTTAATAAATGGTATGGGTACAACTGAATTCCCAAATAGAAAAAGCAAAAACAGAACTATTTGGCTCATACCATATACAAAAATTAATTTTAAGATCTATTGTAGACCTAATGTGAAAGCTAAAACTATAGAGCTTTTTAGACAAAAACAAAATATCTTCAAGACCTTGGGGTAGGCAAAGATTTCTTAGAATGTAGAAATACACTAGCATAAAGGAAACAATTAGTAGATGAATGTCTTATCTACTTTTCCTATTGCTGAGACAAAATACCCAACATCCAAAGTTAAAAGAGGAAAGGTTTGTTTCAGCTCACAGTTTGTAGAGGTTTGAACCCATAAGTCAGCTGGCTCCAGAGCAGGATGGCATAGCAGAGGGGCATTGCAGAGGAGAAACAGTTTATGATGGGCAGAGGGCAGCAAAGCAGAGGCAGCAAGCAGCGAAGTAGAGAGTGACCACAGCAGCCCTCTTTCTGTCCTTTGTATTATTGTATAGTCAGTGGCAAGCAGGCAGGAGTCAGCAAAACAGAAAGCAGCACCAGCAGCAAGCAGAAGCAGTAGTAGCAAGCCTGCCTTTTCCTTTTCCCCATACAGGCTACCAGCTTTTTATTCCCTTATCTATCCCCTTAATCCCAGCATCACACACTTAAATCACAGTATCATACCCTAATCAAGCCACCTTCTAAACTTCTATATATTAGCACATGAGGCCTTGGGGGGACATCTAAATACAAGCCATAACAGTGAAGTATCATGAAAATTGAAAACTTCTGCTCTTTGAATAATATCATTTTTAAAAAAGAAAAATAACAAGTCACAATATTAGAGAAATTATTCTTTTTTTGGGGGGGGGTCGGGTATCGGGCATCGAACTTGTGACCTTGCACCTGTGAGGCAGGCGGTAGAACCACTGAGCTAAATCCCCGACCCTGAGAAATTATTCTTAATACATATATCCAGTAAAGAACTTATCGCCAGAATATATTAAGAACTCCCCCAACCCAATAACAAAGAGGGAGGTTTTAAAATATGACAGAGGGGGGCTGGGGATTTAGCTCTGGTTCCACTGCCTTCCTTGAAACCACAAGGTCCCGAATTTGATCCCTGGTACCAAAAAACAAACAAACAAAAATATGACAGAGGTAGTGGCGTCACACCATTTTCAATATACTAAATATCTCAATTGTACATTTTAAAGTGGTTAATTGTATGCTATGTGAGTTTCTCCTAAATTAAAAAATAAAAGAAGCAAAATGTTTTAGAATTAAATAGTGGTAATGGTTGCAAAACATAGTTGATATTTAAAAAACCATTGAATTGTACATTTTAAACTGGTAAGTTTTATGTTATGTGAATTAAGTTTCAATAGTTTTTTTTTAAAGTACTAGGGATGTAGCTCAGTGGTAGGTATGGAGTTTGCCTAGCCCTAGCCATAGCCTTAGCCCAAGGAGAGACTGAGTTTTATCCCCAGCATCACAAAAAATAAATAAAGAGAAACAAAACACTTTTAAACAATGAATAAAAGACTTCCACATACATTTCATATACAAATGTCCAATAAACACATGAAAACATGTACAGTATCATTAATGATCAGGGAATGACAAAGAGATTTGTATAACATGGATGGAACTAGAGGTTGTTAGCATAAGTGAAGTAAGTCAAGCACAGAAAGATGTATCTTACATGTTCTTACATGCGGAAGCCAAAGTTGATCTCATAGACTCAGAATAGAATAGTGATTATTGGAGCCTGGGAGGGTGTGAGGGAGGGTGAATGGAGAAAGGATGGCTAATGGGTACAGGAGTGCAGTTGGATAGGAGAGATAACTTCTAATGTTTTATATCACAGTAGTATAACCATTCATTGTATATTTCAAAATAGATGCTAGAGAGGATTTGGAATATTCCCAACAAAAAAGAAATGGTAAGTGTTTGAGATGACAGTTTGAGTTGATAAATATAGATCTTTTACTTGTATCTGATCATTACACATTGTATACATGTATTGAAATGTCACATTGAACCCCATAAATATATGTAATTGTTATGTGCCAATTTACGGTAAAAGTGTATTTTTTAAAAACTGAACAACAAAAAAAGTACAGTGAAAAATTACCACATACACTAGATTGGCTAAAATGAAAGAGACCAACAGTACTACTAGTGGTTGGCACAGGTATGGAACAACTAGATCTCATATATTGCTGATGGGAATGTAAAATTATACATCCATTTTGGAAAGTTGGCAGTTCTTTTAAAGTTAATATACATCTACCCTATCATCCAGCAATTCCATTATTAGGCACTTATGCAAGGCAATGAAAATATACCCATTAAAAGCCTTGTATAAGAATGTTCATTATAATTAAATTAGTTACATTCAAAATGAAACAGCCACGGTGCCCAACAGGAAAATAGATAAACTAGTACATTCATATGATGGAATGCTAGTCACTAACATGAAGGAATGAATTGTTCATATATACAACAGGATAGATGACTCAAAAACATGCTGTGTGAAAGAAGTCATTCACAAAAAAGTACTACTGTATGAGCCATAGATGCAAAATTAATCTATGGTGATGGAAATTAGAATAGGGGTTGCTCTGAAAAGGGATCCTAAGAACTTTCTCGGTTGAGGTCCATTGAGGGAGATGGAGATCAGTTGGGGAGGATTAGTCAGGTTTATGTATTTGTCAGTACTAATCAAATTGTGTACTTATCTGCTCATTCTACCTTATATGTCATTTAAACCTCAAATATAGTATTCCTGTTTTTTGGTATGCTAATAGAATCTCTTGTGGTTTTAAAGTACACAACAATAATGAAGCTACTTCATTTGTCTTTGTCATCCACATTTAGCACACTATTACGGAAAGAAGAAAAATAAAAGAATTGGGAGGCCACCTGGTGGGCATAGTAACTTAGCTTGTGCCCTGAAAAAAGCCAGTAAGAGAAGAAAAAGGCGGAAAAATGTTTTTGTTCATAAGAAGAAACGCTCCTCTGCATCTGTTGACAATACCCCAGTGGGCTCACCCCAGGTATGGGATCTGTGATGCATCTGTCATGTCTAGAAGCCAAGTGACCTCTGTTTTATGAGAAGGCCACAGGAAGAATACCTGCAGGTCTCTCTAATTCAGTTCTCTGGCCAGTAGAAGATGGTTTTGAGGTCCAGTAACTGGTTTTCCCTGAATTTCAATGGCATTTGTCTCTTTTTCCTCTAGGGAAGTGGGGTTGAAGATGAAGATGATGTAGATGAAGGGGATGATGATTCCCTAAGTGAAGGCAGTACATCAGAGCAGCAGGATGAGTTACAGGAAGAGTCAGAAATGTCAGAAAAAAAGTCATGCTCCTCCTCTCCCACCCAAAGTGAGATGTCCACCTCGCTGCTCCCAGACCGACAAAGGAGAAAGAGAGAGCTTCGTACTTTCTCATTTTCTGATGATGAAAATAAACCTCCTTCACCAAAGGTACCATTTTAAGAATAATGTCTGTCTGTCCTCCTGTCTCCCCCCTTCTCTGTCATTTCCATCGAGAATCTAACGATGCTGATATTCCGTTTCTTTCAGTATAAGCTTATGAAGAATTTTTAGGGTCTCAAGGCAGTTATGATATTGCTACCTTATTTTAGGAAAAATTGCTGTTTGAGTATTTTTATAATATGTATGGTTTTATAAAACTACATTATCCCCGGGCCGGGGATTTAGCTCAGTGATGCCATGCCTGCCTTGCAAGTGCAAGGTCCTGAGTTGGATCCTCAGTACCAAAACAACCCCACTACATTATCCCTTTGGTTTTGGTTACATATCATGTTTACTATAATTAATATGTACACATTACATAAATATATACACTTAAGATTACAACTAAATTATTGTTTCAAAACTGGGTTACTTTTTTTAAATGTACAATGTAGGGCTGGGGATTTAGCTCAGTGGTGCTGCTGCCTGCCTCGCCCAGTGCAAGGTGCTGAGTTCGATCTCCGATACCAAAAAAAAAGCACAGTGAGCAGGACCAATAAAAGGTTTTTTTCTGATAATTTGGTTAGGTATTTTCATTGGAAATACCATCTTTCTTTTTAGCACACTACCAAAGACTCAGCTGAAATAAACAAGGAACAACTACGAGATTTATTTTATTTTTCATGCCGTGCGTGGTGGCGCATGTCTGTAATCCCAGCACGTGGGAGGTTGAGGCAGGAGGATCTGCACAAGTTTGAGACCAGGTAGACTACATAGTGAGTTCAAGGTCAGCTTGAACTACATAGCAAGACACTGTTTGGGGGGGAAAAAAAATGTGTTTTTGTCGATTGAATTGTTCAAATTATTTGTACTGAAACTTTGTGATGAATTCTTCTTCGCGATGTTTTGTGTTGTAAAAGTCAATTTAAAATAAAATTTGTCCCACTGAGTGTGGTGGCACACACCTATAATTCTAGCACTTGGGAGGCTGAAGCAGGAGGATTACCATGAATTCGAGGCCAGCCTGGGCTACACAGCGAGTTCAAGTCCAGGGGGAACTACACAGTGAGATCCTGTCTCAAAAAAATATATAAAATAAAATAAAATTTGTATTATAATTTTCTCAAGTATTATACTTGTTTAAATAGTCACTGTATTTTTTTTTTTTTTTTTTTTTTTTTTTTGGTACTGGGGATTGAACTCAGATCCTTCCGCTTGCAAGGCAGGCGGCGGAACCACTGAGCTAAATCCCCAGCCCAAGTATTATACTTGTGCATGTGGGCCTTTACCATCTTTGCGGGAAGAAATCGTGTGGCCACTTTAAATACTGCCTTGAAGGATTATAAATGTAAATGGAGAGACTTCTTTTTTAAAGAGTAAAATAGCTCTTACATCATTTGGTTTTGTTTTGTTGTGGGGAATGCAGGAAATAAGGATTGAAGTTGCTGAAAGACTTCATCTGGATAGTAACCCCCTGAAGTGGAGTGTGGCAGATGTTGTGCGGTTCATCAGATCCACCGACTGTGCTCCATTAGCAAGAATATTCCTAGACCAGGTAATAATAGATATCTATAAATAAATAAAAAGTCTTTCTAGCAAAGAACTGTGCATGTAGTAGTCCACAATTTATTTACAACTTGCAGGAAAAATGTCTTAATCCACAAGAACATTGCTTTAGTTCCCTTTTTAGGAGAGAGAAGAAAGATGATTTTTAAAAATTATGTATCAGACTTACTTCACAAGTTGAAGCAGTTTATCATTGCATTCTCATTTTTTTTCCAAGAATTTGATTGTATCCCCCCAAATTTAGATAGCTTAAAAATCAAGCATGCCTTGCTTAACCAACCTCATCTTTTTAAAAATAATTTGCTTCTTTTTTTTTAAATATTAGCATTTGTGATATGTCAGGCTCTATAGAGTGGTGGTGACCTTTTTAAGGCAGTTTTGTTGAAGTACAAACAGTGTTGGGCAGGGAATGTTGCTCAGTGATCCAGTACCTGCCTTGCATGTACAAGATCCTGGGTTTGATCTCCAGCACTGGGAAGAAAAAAGTCAGTGTCCCTAAATAAATACTGAAATTTGTTTTGGTAATAGGCCAAGGCGGGGAGGGGTGTCAAAACTGAACATCTTTGAAGACTTTAACTGGTTTTTATAAATGTTACAAGTAGGAGAGCATAGAACTTTATAGTTAATATTTTGTTTCAGACTTAGACCCTCTAAGAAGATGTTATTTTGGCACAGTTAGCTGCCAGTTACAGGGTTGCTAGCTTACTGAATTTTGCTGAGCAGAGGTTCTGAAAAATAGATTCTCAATCTTCGTAAAATTTAAGGTTCCTTAGGGTGTAGAACTACAGAGGCACCAAAAAGGAAATGCGTGACATTTGTTTAAAGGGAAAGTGAAGGAAGCACAGAGACTTTGGTTTTAACAGACAAAATGAATGGGGACTATCTTGATCAAGCTGCCATTCATGTGCATATCATAGATAATTTGCATTTATACCTTAACAGGAAATCGATGGGCAGGCCCTGTTGCTCCTCACCCTTCCCACCGTTCAAGAGTGCATGGACTTAAAATTGGGCCCTGCCATCAAGCTTTGCCATCACATAGAGAGGATCAAGTTTGCTTTTTATGAGCAGTTTGCCAACTGAGAAGGACAACCAAAGTGAGCTGGACCTTTGAAGCACAAATGCAGCAAATCCTTCACCCTATTCTAGAAATGGAGCTGGATAGTCCTGGGGCTATGGGCCCTGTGGGTGTTGGCTTGCGCTCTTTGCACTTTCAGGGAAGGAGGACCCACACTGAGGAAGCAAAATGGCACAAAAGTGGCTCTCCTGCCAGTGGAAATGTGGACATCTCATGTTCAGCACATTGCAGTTTTTAGGAAATAAAGATTGTGAAGAAAAAACTCACACGAAGAGTAAGCATTTCCAGTGGTGTGGACTGAAGACAAAGAATAATCTAGGTGACTGGATGGCACCTTTTTAGTTTTCCTTTCATCCTGTTCTTCCAACTGTAGATTGAATGAACTTTGTTGTCTGCTTTTACTTTTTTTGGAAAGAGAGGACATAGCTTTAAGTCAGCACTGATTTGCGACTGTGCCTAAGGCACATCAGTGCTTCGTTGTCATTGTGTTTTTAAGCTTTTAAAAATTAAAACAGTTCATTTTGGGGATAATTATGTGGCTCCAAGGTTTTGAATGTATAGTCATACTTTGATCCATTTTAAAATCTATTCTTAAGAGTTTCTTTGTTTACTGCCTCTGTTGATAATTGAGCTTACAGCCATGAATGAGGTTTTTTGTATGATGCCATTTTTAAGCTAGTGAACACTAGAACTATGACAGAAGTTGGAGGGGAGAAAAACAGTTTGCTATCTTAAGAACATTATGTGGGCACGTCAACCAGTTCCTCAACAGACTTAACCTAAGAACTCTGCTGTCATTGTTCTCCACCTTGACCCAGCTCCAGGGTTAAGTAGCCTCATGAAGATTGTTAGTATTTCAGTTTGATTACTCTGTCCCTGTTAGTCCTCAGAGGACTTAAGTAGCTTTTATTTTGTGTTTACTTTTTCTCTAGAGTTGTTTGTCTACCTCTGTTTCATTTTTGGAGTCCTTCTGGTGAAAATCAGTCAGTATTCCTTTGACCCAATATAAAGAAAGGCCATTTCTCTGTAATCCCAGCAACTCAGGAGGCTGAGGCAAGAGGATTGTCATAAGTTCAAGGCCAGCCTGGGCTACATAGCCAGACCCTGTCTTCAAAAAAAAGAAAAGAAAGCCCATTTCTCCTGATTTCTAGGCGAGCCGCAAAGAGTTTGTGGTTTGAAAGTAACACAGCATGGAGTTTCTTCAGCAGTTTCCTCATTAGCAGGATAAAGATTGAGAAGTGATTAAGGAGTCTAGAGACCCCTTTACCTAGCTACCTTTATGTATTTCTTCAGTTAAACCTTTAAATTGAATATAATCTATAGACTGAGGTCCCACTTGATAACTCTGTACTTTTTGGTGTTTCTTTTAACTTAGCTCAAGTTGACATGAAACTTCAGGCAAATTTTCACATAGGATTTTATTGCCAGTTATTAGAAAATAATAGCACTTGCTACTGTTCTAGCCAAGAATGAGGAAAGACATACACATTGTGTCCTTTATATGGTTTACTTTGTTGTTTATTTATTTATTTATTTATTTTTGCATTATCCTAGTCACCTACAAATTTATAACCTAATCATTTCCACTCAAGAATTGGAAATGTTTTAAAACTGCAAACTGGGTAAATTCCAAACAACTCTACAAATATAAGGTAATACTATTTCAAATTTAAACTGATTGTGATTCTTTTCCTTTTCTTTCCTCAAACCCCAATTGTTTTTATGGACATTGGGAAATAATCTATAGTCTGGATCCTTTCTTCATTGGATAATTCATAAACCACTTTGACTCAAGCCTCCAGCCAAATCATAAAGCATTAACTGCTCAGATTACTACCAGATATATTTGGAAAGAAGCTTCATTTTAGTAAAAACATATTTGAACATACTCAGCGATCCAATTTTAAAATGTGATTAATTTTATATCTGTAGAAGAAAAACATACATTATGATGCTAGAGAACAGTTAGCATCAAGCAGGTGGACTTGAAATGGTGACGTCTTGTTTTTTAATAAAGTTTCCTGAGAGTTTAGCAATCAAGGCACTGAGGCAAAAGAAGGTCCCTTGAGGAAGAGCAATGGAACACAAAACTTCAGAATTAATGTTTAGGGTCTCACATTGCTATCTTGTTTAGGAAAATGGAACATAAGAGGGAATTTATCAGATGTAACAGCAATGAATGTTATTTTTGTCTCTCTTCTTGACTTCTTCAGAAACCAGCATTTAGAAGCACCTCCCTTCACAGATGAGGAGATGGATCCCCTGATAGTTGAAATACATAGTCTCTAATCTGGGTGGGGTTGGAGCATAACAGGCTGGTCTGTCTCTACTATGATTATTCAAGCTGTTTCCTTCTAGAGAAAGGCTGACTTTAAATTGGACATGTTAGTGGGGTCTCCCGTAATATTTCTTGCATTCATCTACTGGGATACAGTTTATTGGACAATTGTATTAAAGAAAAACTATTCCCCCCAGCCCCTTGTTCCCAGATATTGCATACTAGAGGAAATTGTTTGAGAATTTGGCACAGGGTGTTTTTTTTTTTTAAGTACAAATTTTCAGTTCCATTTACCTCATAGAGCTGCTGGGACTAGGAGCAGTGACAGTCCATTTAGTGTGATGGTAAAACAGATTTTAAACCTGATAATAGTTTACTGTGTTGGAGCGAAATGCTTAGGTGTTGCACATATACACACATATACACGTGTATATATATGTGTGTATACATATATACGTGTGTGTGTGTATATATATATATACTTTGTCATTTAGAGACCAACTCTTATGAGAGGTACATTGTGAGATCTACATTTATCTGGATTTCACCTGTAGTTGGCCTCACAGCTGCCTGAGATCAGAAGGGTTTTCATGATCTGGATTAATAGGCTTAGAAACAGGTTAATGGACTATGTCATCCTCCTGGACTTGAAAAGTTAGACAGCCAATAGACTTTTACCACAATGTTAGTGTACAAGGGAGACCTTTTACTGCACTTGCAGATTTTCTCTGGGATTTTTACTATAATTTGTGGGCTTCTGGGGACTATGCTGTTTTCCTTTGTGAACGTCTTCATCCTTCTCATTTGAAGTGGCTAATACAGGGAATGCATACTTTTTACTCCATCTTTAGCTTATCTTTAGCAACATAGGTGGCTCCTGGCATCTACAAAATAGATCCTTAGGTCAAGGAAGGGTAATTATCAAACACTGGAAAAGATATTGGTAAATATTTATAATATATATATTGAATTATAATAGAGGAACACATAGAAAACAAGTTCAGAATCTGGCCTTTGTATGTCTTCTCTCCTAGAAGTAAAATTATTCTCACTGTGAGAGAAGGGGCAATGGACCAAAGTTTCCTGAGGACTTGAATACATTTTCCTTGCTCTCTAGTATGAATTCAGTCACTAATGTGGTACCTGAATATAATTTAGAAGCTCTAGGAGGTGTTCAGTAGGGGAGGATTTAGAACTATTCCTGTCTTTCAAGCCAACAACTCTTTTCAAGGGACACATAGAACATCAGGTAATCTATATGGGGACATCGAGAAAACTGTCACTGGCACGTATATTTACTTGGCACCTGCCACCAAAGACTTACTTAAGACAACCTTTGCTGGTTGGATTTATTTGCATAGAAGCTCTGAAAGAATTGTTAGCCTCAACAGTGGAGACACACCTTGGATTTGAACTCTGGTCCCCTGTATTGGGGATGTTCTGTGTGTGTATGCATGCACACAATTTCAAAAGTGTTCTGTGCTAGCAGTAGGAAATATATTGGCCTTGTGATGAAGGAGGCATCACTAACAGATATGAAGTGTAAGTCCTGGTGCGGACCAGGTACTCCCTTTTAAAATTTGAATGTCTTTGGTCCTGGGTCTACTGTAAGTAACCATGTCTCACAGCTGTGCTGCTGGCTCAGAAACTATTCGACAGAAAGCCTCCTACACAACCAAAAAGAAATGTCACTTTCCTGTCGTCATAATTCTTCCTTGACTTTCTTCACTGTAAATGTTTCACTAGTGAATTTTGATGATTCCTTTGTATGAGAATGTGCATACTTTGGAAATTTGAATTTATCTAAAGCTACCTGTGGACTTGGAGTTTTGGTGTAAAAGTTTTAAATTTAAAGCTCAGTCTAAATTGCTCTGGTTTCAAGCCTACTTACTTGAGATTGTTTCCTCAGTACTTGTCTCAGACCACACTGGTGGCCTTGTTTCTAGGGGCAGCTTTTTAGAGGTGAGGTGTAGAAGGTAGTGGGGATTAAATGCAGTGCAGGTTTATTTTCTTTAATATGGTGTTTAAGAAGTCAGATATTCACAGGATCCAGCAAAACCAGGAGTGGAGAGTTGAGGATATAGAAACATAGGCCTAAAACTCTCCCCTTATGCTTTTGCTGACTGGTCTGTCCTGGTGCACTAGCCTATCACAAAGGATTGTTGGTAAAGGGAAACGTGCAAGCCACAGCCTTGTGGGGCACATTTCTATACCAGCAGTACAGTACAGACCTGAGCCCTAGGGGGCAACGGATGATGACTAGTGAAATGGTGCCACCATTGCAGATGGGGATTGGCACAGCCTGTTCATGGGATATGTGGAAATTCAGGTCTAAGGGTTTCTTTACATGGTTTATTCAGTCCAACCACAGGCCTAGCTTGGCAGAATGGAGTCAGTCAAAAAGTGTTGAAAAACTAGAGTAGGCTTTTGGGGCAAATCAAGTCACAAAGCAGATGACGTAGGGAGGTCATAAAGCTTAGGCAAAGTTAAAGCTGGATAGTTCTTAGCTCCTTTTGCACGGATGTCTGGGGAAGGTAGTTTTAATGTTTCTTTTGAGATTTTAAGTGCTCATTTCTTTTGGTTTCTCTTCCTTTTTTGGTTGAATATTCTCTAAAGACAATCAGAGGCCTGCCAGGGATGGACTCCTGGCTGGTTCCAGCACTGTCCTTAGGCCTCTTTGTAATAGTAACTTGTTGGAACTGATGCACTTTGTTTAATGTATTTTGCCTTTTTTTTTTTTAAGCTGCTTGTTTGGAATCAAATGAAATGCTTATTACATTGTATCTTTCCTGCTTGCTGTTTTTTCTCTTAATTTCAAAGTTATGCATTGAAGATAAAGGTACCCTTAAGCAGAAATATACACAAGAATACCTATTAAAATAGCTCCCAGGGTCAGGGATCTAGCTCAGTAGTTCCAACGCCTGCCTCGTAAGTGCAAGGACCCGAGTTCGATCTCTGGTACCAAAAAAAAAAATAGCTCCCATTGGCCAGGGATTTAGCTACCAAAAAAAAAAAACTTTTACAAAGATTTAAAATAGCTCCCATCGAGGGCCGGGGATTTAGCTCAGTGGTTCCACCGCCTGCCTCGCAAGCGCAAGGACCCAAGTTCGATCCCCGGTACCAAAACAAACAAATAAAATATCTCCCATTATTTGATGGTATAACATCAAAGGATTAAAAACAAAACATACTAAAACTATTTTGGATTAATATTCTGTGTGTTTTCATTATTTTTCATAAACACCTTTCTATAAACTTGTAGGGTATTATGACATTTAAGAGAAACTTTAACTCCACTTTGCAGATTTGACAGAAAGGAGGGCATTTTTGCCAGAATATATTCTTCAAAACTCCGGGGGGGGGCGGCTCAGAGAATCATTTCTAAATGGATGAGAAAATTCCTTTCTCTCTTTTTTTTTTTTTTTAGTACCAGGGATCGAACTTGGGACCTTACACTTGCGAGGCAGGCACAGTGCCATTGAGCTAAATCCCCTGCTCCTCCTTTCTACTTTAATAAAATTACAGAATTCTCTTCCCCTCCTCTCTCATCTTTTCCCTTCTGAATTTAGATATTTTTTCATTTCAGCTCAGGAAAAGTAGGAAGAGCAGAACCCACAGTGACCTTGCTCCTGACACTGGAGATTCTGCCCTTGAACCCTAAAGATGATTCTTGTTCTCTTTGAGCCTTAAGGGTTCCTCCGCATCTGGATGTGCAGACAGGTCCTTATCCAAAACTTCATTTTTCAGCCCACTGTGCAGTTTTCCTTGAGCTATCTGTGTCTTCAAGCAACCCAAAGTCTCCTTATTCCCAATCACAGTCTCCTCTGCTTTAAGACATGTCCTCTGGTTTGGTTCTCTCTGAACAACTACTGTTAATCGTTGAGCATCCTCATAAGATTTCTCTTGGTCTTGAAGGCAGTAATCTAATTTTAATCTTCTTTTATCCATTTATTTTCTTAAACTGATTTTCTGTAATTGCCCATGGTCAATATTTGTGCAGAGTTTTAAAATTTATAAATTAAACTTCAACTTAATTTAAAAAGTATTTTTGTTGCATGTTATCTGTGTCAGACACTGTGTTGGATTCGCGAGTGAATAAAAACCACTCCCTATCTGCAGAAGCCTCACACTCAGCTGTAGAGAGAGATACGTTTATAGATGTGTAACTTAGCAGTTTTGGAAAGTTATAGCAGAACAGCGCACCAGGGAATGAGGAAGCGCAGTGAGGAGAAGGAGGCCAGGTGGGCCTTTAAACAGCAGTTGGCAGAGCAGGAAAGAGCCACAAAGCGGTGTGAAGACATGGAGGTGAGAGTGTATTGTAAGATAAAGGCTGGAGAATTGCATTTTTGTTCTTTGACTAATTGGGTTATTCAACTAAAAACCTTTTTGGGTAGCATTTAATCCTCTGATATAATTGGAATTTCTTGAAGCTCTTTTATAGGGAAAAATTTCCCTAGGCGTAGTATTTACTGTACAACACATGTAGCTAGGCTTGTGCTGTGTGTACACTGATGTACAGCAGGAAGGGCAGGGTCTCTAGAGCACCAAGAGGTATCTAGACAGAAGCCAGAGGGCAATAGCATCCCTGATAGAGGCAGAAAACAGGTGCCAACATGTCAGGTGGGAGTTAACATGCTCCCTTCAGCTGGACCCGCCTGATGAGACTGCCCATGCTTCCCAATGGGACAGTCATGAATATACCACCGGTGGTTCAGAGCCACCCCCCACCAGCCCCCCACCCCCGGCAGCTAGACACGAGTTACAGCCTCTGTCCTGAACATGTTAGTGTGTTGCAGGGGATGTTGAGACTGACAAATACCAATCATTTGCCTTTATTAGTCATATTCAACATGAAGTTGTGCCCCCTAAATGAACAAAGTGAGGACATGTTTACATTGACTTTCTAGTCTAAATCCAGTATGTTTCTAATTTAAATTGTACTGAATTCAAGTCACCTTTAAAATTATATCTTGGGGGAGCCAGGCATGATCACCCACCAGTCCCAGCTACTCTAGAGGTTGAGGCAGGAGGATTGCTTGAGCTGAGTTTGAGTTTAGCCTGCAAAACACAGCAACATCCCATCTCAAAAAAAAAAAAAAAATGACAAAAAAATAAATTTAAGACTTTCCTTAATGACTCAAATTCTGTGTCTTTGGGCCAGGGAAGTAGGAGGACATCGAATGGCTGGTTTGGAAGGAATACACCTGTGCTGTCTTGTTTCCCTCAACCACCTGCTCAGAATAATCCAGCTGCAGATTATTGGGGCCCATTCCTGAAGTGTCAATTGGGAATCTCTGAGGGTGGAATAATCCAAGCATATTTTTAATAAATTCACCAGAATATAAGGGATTTACCTTGGAGGGAAAAAGAATTTAGTCACAGATGTCCTTGCTACTGACCTCTGGAGCTCGAGGTCCCCGGGCTCGCATTCTGGTCTGCGAAACCCGGGTGCACCTGGTCTACCTGCAAACCTAGACCCTCGGCCTCACTCACTCGCCTCGGCCTGGGTCCCGCCCCTCGGGGGAAGGGCAGGGCCCGCCCCCATCCGGGCCCGACCAATCAGGCGCTGTGATCTCAGACGTCGGGTTACGCGCGGCGCCGAGTCCGCCGCCGGCTGCAGCCCCGGCCCCGCGCTCGGCGGCGCGGCCCCGGCAGCAGTGAGGCCGGCGGGTCGGCGCCCCGCGCCCCCCCGCCAGGCCGCCATGCAGAGCCCCGCCGGGAACGCCAGCCGCGGGCTAACGGGCGGGCCGCCCTCTACGGTCGCCTCCGGGGCGGGCCGCTGCGAGAGCGGCGCTCTCATGCACAGTTTCGGCATCTTCCTACAGGGGCTGCTCGGCGTCGTGGCCTTCAGCACGTTGATGCGTGAGTCCGGGACAACCTCTCCTCAGGCCCCTCGCTAAGCGCACCGCCCCGCCCCGGGGACCCTCTTGCCCAAAGAGGTCAGGCGTGGGGACCTGGGCCCTTTGGCTAAGATGCCTTCCTCCCGCGAGCCTAGGCTGGGCTTTCCCAGACTAGGGGTCGCCCTGGTCCCTGACCCCACCGTCCTGAGTCCTGCCCCTCGCCACCGTACGCATCCGTGTTCGGAGATGCCAGTCTGAAACGTCGTCCCCCTTCCCACATCTTCATCACAAATTAAGGTTACCCCGCGAAACAGCTTGGAGCTGTGACCTCCGAGCGTGGCATCCCTCTCTATCCCCTCTCAAGGGCTCCTCTTTAGCCTTTCCTTTTGCGCTTTGAACCCACATCCCTACATCTGGTCTGATGCTGAGCTTTTTTCTTTTCTTTTTTTGCATTTTCACTCTTCAAGGATTTGCATTCTCTCTTTCTCATTTGAATCCTGCTACCTTGCATCCCTTGCGTTCCTGAAGCGTATTAGGTTCCCACATTCTGTTTTCCAGGACCACCAGTCCCCGCCCCGTCCCGTGGTCCTTCTATTTTCCTTTCGTCTTGGCAAGACCCGCCCAGATGGCCCTCTCCCCCTCACGTCCACCTTTCTCCCCCTTCATCCCCAGCAGGGCCACCTGCCTGTTCCCTCGCTGTTTCCCCTGGCTGTTCCCTTTCCCAGTCCGCTTTTATTATGTATATATTAAGTTTTCTTTTTTTTCCGTGAAACTCAGGCAACCTAATGACTTAATGGGGAAAGAGACCCAGAGGGTCAAGGGAGGTCCCGGAATCCCCGTGCTGTCTGTCACCAGGGGCACTTCCTTGGGACCTGTAATGAAAAGAAGCCCCAGAAGTATGCCAGAGGGGGAGGGGCCATGTGTGGCTTAGGGTTTGGGTGTGGGGTGTTGTTTTCTTAGTGTACAGCCTTGTCCTTATTAAAGTCACTAGAAGCTTTGTGTGGCACAGAGACCCTGTGGTTGTGTTCTGGCTGAAGATAAGGTTATAACTCTGTACATAAGCATTCATTCCAAAATGACTTGTGCTCTGTGGGCGGTTTCAGCAGAGTGGCCCCAGGGAGGGCTCAGGCAGCTGTGTACAGATGTCTTGTAGCGTCTCATTACCTTAGCTGTTTATGACAGGGGTTTTTGGAGGTGAATTTTCTGAGGCTTCAGGTGACCTGAACTTGGACACTGCTTTTTGCTAGTTTCCTGGCCTTGATCAATCCTGCAACAAGTCCCCAGCTTTTGTGTTTGCCACTTTGTTCTTTTTAGTCTCTGCTCGCCTTACTATTTTCTCTGCTAAACAAGTACTCACTTATTCCCACAGTTCCCACCATTTGGGACAACTTAGCCAAATTCAGTTGCTGACTCGGGAGCATGTATTGTACGTTTATGTGTTTTGAAGACATTGTGAGTAGGGCCTCACTCCTGTCCCACTGCTTTCATCTCTAGCCAGTCTTCTTTCTCTCTGGAAGAACTATAGATTTAATCTGGGAGGCAAGGGGTGCTCAGAATTGAACTCAGGGCCTCACACCATACTGGGCAAGCTCTCTACCACTGAGCTGTATTCCTAGCCCTCGGTGAGTTTTTACCTTGTTCCTTGACCAGAGATTCTATAGCCTACCTAACTGTTATGGCTTGTGTCTAGATGTCCCCTCAAAGCCTCATGTGGTCATAGGTAGGAGTTTTAGAGGTGGCTGGATCTAGAGTGTGTGATGCTGGGATCAGGGGTGTTTGATTACTAAGGTAGTCCAATGATTGGTTTGGCATAGTTCTGAGAGTGTATAATGAGAAGGCCCTCCCTGGGTATTTGTGTTACCTGCCCTAAGGGTGGGTAGCTTGGATAAAATATAAGGGACAGAAAGAGTGTTGTTGCTAGTCATTTGCTGCTGCCTTGCTACTTCGCTGCCTTTGTTGCCTTCTTTCTATCGTGAACTGTTTCTCTCTGTGATGTTCCTCTACCATGCCACCATACTTGGAGCCAGCCAGTTATGGCCTGAAACCCCTAGAAACTGAACTGAAATAAACCTTTCTTCCTTAACTTTGGGTGTCAGGTATGTTGTCTCAGCTATGAGAAAACTAAGACAATAACTGTGGCTGTTTTCATGGGTTTGATTGGTGTTGATGGGCTTCCTTACCCCTCTAGAGTAATTCAGAGAGGGAAATGTGATTATGACAGGGCAGAGTTGCTCACAGCTGAGAAGTGTGTCTGGTTGAATGTGTTCAGAGTGCAGATGCTGCCCCTTTGAATCTTCGGTGACATACTCACCTCTTTATTTAATCATCAGTGTGAATATACATGCACATCCCACTGTGGTTGGTGCTTTCCTTCTGCAAAACCTGGACAAGAAAGTAGACTCTTTCTCAGTGGAAGTCTTGATATGGAAGGGGTTGTGGAAGTGGCTGGTAGATCCTGGGACAATGTAGGGCACGAGTGACGAAGAGAAGAATTGTAAAGGCCAGAGCTGGTTCTGCCTTAGACCCAGAAATGAAGATGAGATCGAGGCCCTCAATACCCTACCTAGACACAAACAGCAGGCCAAGGTGATGATGGCCAGTGGAGCTAGACAAGATCCCACTAGTGGGACTTCCCACTCAACCAGGAAGTGCCTTTCTTATCACTCAGATTCCACGGTCTGGTTGAAGTAGAACTGTAGGGCTTTTCCTTCTTGAAGAGGCGGCCGTATATATTGGAGTAGACTTTGCTGAGGAAGTGGAAGGGGAATGAGGTAGTAATCTCAAGGAAGTGAATCTGTCCACTGTTGGGCTCCGTCTTCCTGGTCACAGAGCCTGCTATGTTAGTCAAGCCCAGCTGCAGGAGGTAGAGGGCCAGGCTCCTGGATGAATGTGTCCACCTGGCTGCCCATGAGAGAGGAAGGGCCTGGTTTGTTAAGATGAGGCCATGGCATCCTTTATTATCATCTTCAGGAACATTTGAAATGCCATGCCGTCTGTTCTGAGTAGTTTAAACTAACAACTTCTGTCCTCTTTGAGGCCATAGTCTTTCCCCTTCCAGGTTTGTGTCCCCCACAGCAGTGACTCAGTGCCTGTCTTCTTGGATGCTTCTCAGATCTAAGGGCTGGAACCAGTGTGTTTTCCGGCTAGACCAACTCCCTCTGCAGGCGATGAGCCCCCTTCTCTGACAGACAAACCAAATAATCTTTCTCACTTCAAATCCCTGATTTCAGTGAGTCCTCAGACCACAGTGTTATATTTAGTTTTTGGGGGTTTTTTTGGTACTGGGGATTGAACTCAGGACCTTACGCTTTCGAGGCAGGTGGCAGAACCACTGATTTAAATCCCTGGCCCCAGACCACAGTGTTTATGTGCCCTTTTTTTTTTTTCAACCTAGAAAACCTTTTTTAACCCCCTCTTACCAGTTGCTTCATTTTTTTTGGTACTGGGGATCAAACTCGGGTCCTTGCGCTTGCACAGCAGGCGGCGAAACCACTGAGCTAAGTCCCCGGCCCCAGTTGCTTCATTTTTTAGCTGGGAGGTTTTGTCCTGGAAGAAGATGTCACACAAATCTTAACAGTCCCAGGAAATTTTGGTTCTCAAAAGGATGACCACCTTGGCACTCTGCAAGATTTCTTGCCTTATGTGTGGGGTTTTATAGACACAGTCCAGGCAGTTGTGAGCACGCATGCCAGGTCTTGTATGTAGCCTATTTTTCAATCTATGTGAACATGCACACTGTCACAGGCTACTGCCCACTGGCATATCCTGATGTCAGCATCACCTGTTAATTAAGTTGTGGGCTTTGCAGAGGGTCCGGCTGAGGAGCCCTATGTGTATAAGGAAAGCCAAGCAAACTCAGAGACCAGGTTATTAGGTTACTTCCCACTGTGGGTATTCTGGGATGTCATGAAGTGAATGGTTGCCTGCATAAAAAGAAACACTAAATGAGAGGGCTTGGTTGTGTTCTGCCCCTCAGGCAGTACCTCTTGTTTTGGTAACTTTGCCACTAGTCCGTGACTCAATGAAGCCACTCAGACCACAGCTGCAGCAGAACAGAGCTGAGGAGCCCTGGAGCTCAGCAGGTTGTTCCAGTGTGGGGAAGTTGCCGAGCCGTCAGCCAAAGGTCATTGTTGCCCAGTGTATGTGTTGGCATTTGTGGGTGTTTACTCTCACAGCTTGTGAGTGGAAAGCAAACTCAAGCCTTCTTCATCATCCAGTCAGGGTTCTGGGTTGAAGTGTGGAGAGAAATGACTTTTAACAAAACAAGGATTTAAGAGCTTGGATAAATCTGCCTGCCTATTTTCATGTCACCAATATAGAAACCAGCAGGCTGGCAGAAATTTGTTCGTGTGGTACAAGAACAGTTAGAAGTGGTAGTCTTTTTCCTGTGGCCCAGAGTAAAATCACAAACCAGACCACGTAGCTTTCATACCTTAATCTCAAGAAAGAATGCCTGGTGTTTCCTGTCAGGTTGAGCTGACTTCTCTGCATCCTCTGTGTTGGCACAGCTTTTTCTACGATCACCGCTCCCACACCCCAACCTAGTTTTTATCTCAGATAATGTCAGACACAGGAAAGATGAGAAACAGTATAGAGAACATCTGTCTGCCTTGTACCTAGATTCAGTGATTAATTTTGTCACATTTACTTTATCTCCTTTTCTTTTTTGGCTTGGTTATTTGAAAAACACTTGCAATCAGTAAGTACCTCAGCTTAGTCTACTAAGGACAGTCTCCTCCTACATAGGCACAATCTCCTACACAACCTAAGAGAATTAAGAATACAGTAAGTCCACAATATCACCTAATATACATTCCATAGTCACCTTTCCCCAATATCACAAGTCTTTTATAGCTAGATTTTAAAAAACTGATCCAGTCAAGGTCCATATATTGTACTTTTTTTTTTTTTTTTTTTTTTTGGTACCAGGGATCAAACTCCAGTCCTTGTGCTTGCAAGGCAGGCAGCGGAACCACTGAGCTAAATCCCCGGCCCCATACATTGTATTTTTTAAGTCACTTT